ACAAAGGCGAGCAGCAAATTCCGACCGAATCATCTTAACTACTTGGTATTCCTATATAATCTAGCCGTCCCACCATAATACTATTGGTCCTTAACGAGCACTAAAACATTTTTAGAGACATATCAAACCTAAATAATGTGGGAAAGAAGGACGCAGCACTCGGCGTTGATAAATGTTGATAAATTCTTAGGGAATGCGCCATTCACTCGACTTCATTAAGCATTGTTGGAGGTGAATGAATGCATATCTGGACTTTGCAATGCCTCTCGGTGGCCCAACGATGTGTCGAGCCAGTGCTGCAACCTTCCCAGACAGGTTTGGTACCAATCTGCCGCACCCGGAGGGGTGGAAGGTTTGGTGAACCAGAGGCGCGAGTTCGAACTAAGGACCGCGTGGGTACTGCAAGTCACCAACCAGTACGCTCTTCGCTTACCAAATAAAAAAAATGTATGAAATGCTGAGATATTTGCAAAACTCCGGACTACAGGTGTATGCAGTGGGGAACGAACACGCGCTGCTCCCCGCTAAGGACAACAGCGCGTGTTCGTTCCCCACTGCATACACCTGTAGTCCGGAGTTTTGCAAATATTTCAGCATTTCATACGAGTTATATTTCGCAACATACCCTGCCATTAAGAAGAAAAAGGCAGTAAATAAAAGAGTTAAGATTGTAAAAATTATGTGTTTTGTACATAAATACAGAACTATAAAACTAACCACTGTGCACATAACTCGCACTTTCTTCCATCAGTGTTCCATTCGCAAAGGTAGCAATCACCTGTATTAGGGTGACAAGCTCGCCAATCTGTTAAATTGTTGTTGTCGTTACAGTCGCAGGGTTCACATGAACCACTCGGTCGTTGCGGATCACCAAAGAAACCAGCTGCACATCTACAAACTACCTTTCAATCTGAAAGTGTTTTAAAAGCCTTGATAAGGAAATCAAGTGCCGAAATCGACAAAAAGGGGAGAACTAGGTAAAAATAGCAAAAATTAACGAAACCTGTCACAACGTTCTCCAATATATCCGCGTTTACAGTTGCACGATAGCAGTTGACCGTATTCAGATACCTTGAATCATAAACTGGACAAATACTATGAATTACTTATAAGCTCAATATTTAACACGATCAGAAGATAGCAGCTATCCCTTAGCCCAGAAGATACCCCTTAACATATTTCAAATTCGACTCTCATTTTGAAGTGCCACGTTCACGAACTGTGACTACAGGCTTAAAATTTTAATGTGACGTTCACAGTAAGCAGAATGAACTACGGGATATAAGACTCCGTCCTTTTCTTCTCAAGAGAACAAATGAATTACCAACTTTGTCAGACTTCCTGTGATTTCGAATACAACTAGTTCTTACGTACCCATTATTTTGAGAGCATCGTTTTGAAACATAGATGGATAAACAACAGCAAAAATGAACCCATACTTCACATCCAGTTGCGAAATTGTTCGTTGGTGAAAAAGGGCACTGACACGGCATGCATGAGTATGGACTACCATCAGTAGCAGCTCCATAATATCCTTCTTTGCAAAATTCACAGTGATCACCGTATGTGTTGTGTTGACAATCGTAGCAAACTCCTGCAAGAGTCAAATCCAGTTTTGTAGAATAAATCCTGTGGAAAAAGCACCAAATTGAAATCGCTGATATTACTAACTACCGACAGCACAGATAACCATCTTACGACAACAAATTTTACCCAGGTCAAATTTCCATTTGCTAAAGCCAACAGCTAATTTTAAGGGTCTTTTTAAAGATCTTAAAGAGTATTCTAGAACTTAAAGATAAATTATTCTAGAAATTCCTCCCAACGCTTTACCGCGTCAACGTGGCTGGGAGGTGTTCCTGGGTGTCGGACTGCGATGTACAGCGGGAGATTCATCTTATTGGCAGGATCTCCCAAACTGATAAGGAGTCCGGCGTTTCCAACAGGAAACTAAGAGTAAACCAATACCAGGATCCACCACCGTCCTGGTATCAAAGTCGCATGGTGGCAAATCTCCCTCTAATCCACAAGGCTGCCACTACCTGTGGTGGTGAAGACCTGGGGCAGACTTTGACCAGGCTGACCTCGGGGCTCCAGGGAACCATAACGGCTTAACTAGCAAGTTTCCGAAAAATAGAGACCATACTGGGGACCGCACAACCAGTGAGGACAGGCCATTCAAGTATTAAGTACCAAGTATTCTAGAAATTTTCAGCCACTCAGTGAAATCGGAAGTCTACTGTATTCAACACACTCGCGAACACGCTCACTTTTTCATCGTTGTCACAAACAGCAAGGTCTAATTCTTCGTAGCGCGTGGTGTGGGTTGAATCCAATGCATTTAGGTCAGACAGTCCCTCAAAATGGTCACGCACATTCTCCATGCTATTCAGTCCATATGGTTAGGTGTTTCTACAAATTTCTTGTTAATTTATATTTGTTTTACAATATAACTATCCCCTACTATCCATGTATCGTTCCATATTTTTGAAATCTCTCTAACTTTTGTAAAACACGAAGAAAGCCACTCTAACTTCTAACCACATTGACAACAGGCTATGGCAGAAACAACTCTTTACATACTTTGTGGATATACGCAGATACCTCATTTGTCTCGTTGCTTTGCATCGGATTTCATGGTCTGTAATATTCCCAACGAGACATCCACCACATTAAAGCTTATTAATGAGCTCACACTCTTTGCCATCACCGTAATATCTCTATACTTTCTTCGCTAATAACTTATGTGATAGAAGATATATTCACACTCTTGTCGCAAGCGCCACTGCATTAACAAAATTGTGCTACAAACTGTCATTTGAAAACATGTGTGTAAAAAAAAACTCTCCTCAACCGATGCACGGCACATCTGTATCGGAGGAAGTGTTAACTAATTGTAAAAAACGTGGTGAAAAATCTCTGTGGGTCAACGTAAACAGCCAAAACGAAAACTCGCTGAAATCAACGCATGTTGTCCAATCTCACTCAAACTCATAGAAAGTGGTGAGTGTGCAAAGACTCTGTGTTCAATGTGATTGAAATTTTGGTCCAGCATTTTCTCTGCTTGGTTATGGAGGTGTTTGGCCGTGTAGATAACAGACAACTTGACCTTTCCAGGCTCTGAGGAAGGCGAAATCCGCCGAAACGTCAGCTTGTACGTAAATAAAGGAATAAAATAACACCTCATGTTTGCTAAACAGAAGTGGAAAGATATATTTATTTATGTGATCTTATAAACTGATCTTCTTAAACTGACGCGAGGTTGGTACAGATCTTCGTTGTCGTTGTCCCGCACATAACATCACGGCTCTGAGGAAGGCGAAGTCGCCGAAACGTCAGCCATCGTTCAATAACATCAAAAACAACGACAACGACAACGACAACGAAGATCTGTACCAACCTCGCGTCAGCTTCAGAAGATCAGTTTATTAGATTACATAAATAAATATATCAACTATCTATGCCGAGGTTCATAGAAAGTCGGTCTTTTTAGTTATTAAGAAGTGGAAAGAATTATTCAGCCAATGCCGAGGTTAATAGAAAGTCGTACGTGGAAAAATTTAAGTGTTTAATTTTGTCTGCTAAGTTTGTGAAAGTGTTGAGCTGAGTAGATTGCGTGTTAATGCGGTCATTTACGGCTCTGAATAAATCGGAATCCAACGAACTGTTAGCTACCTTGAATACACACTTAAAGAAACCATGAATATAGCATCCACTCAATAAGTGAACGGTGAACTACCATCAATTCCAAGGTTAGCAGGAAGTCGGTCTTGAGAATCTAATTTAAATCTAAAAATCTAAATCTAAAAAAGACTCTGAATTATTCCACTGCCACTTCAGGGTATTTTGTTAAATACGACCACAAGTATGCTGAGATATGAGCAAAACTGTATCCTCAGATGAGCTGCGACTCTGCGATTATCCTTACTGGGGTCTCAAGTGCTATACACCACAACAACCGAGACCGTTGCTTTCCCCTTTTCTCAGCCTTGTTTCTCTCTATTGGTACCGTCGCAGTCACCTGTCAAAGGGAATCGTTCGGGGAGCACAAATCAGCACTGAACCCAGTTAAGCTGAACCTGCTGTCGAAGGTCCAGAGAAATGCAAGCATGGGCCTCGGCTCGTGTGGTGGATACTGCGCTGAAGTCCCTGCAGGGGTAATAGCGAGTTTGAAGCTCAGCTGGGGTTCCGAGTGTTGCTGCTAACTCAGCATTTCTTTGGTTGTGTCTCGTTTCCCCTAATTGTTTCCTAATTAAAACAACTCAGGAAGCTATCAATTTACACCAACCAGTATCTGGGTTGCACGATCCAGAATGCCCATTACATTCGCACGCCACGCATGCACCAAGATATGTCGCAGTCTTTACTCGATAGAATCCAGAAGCACAATGCTGACAGCTCGGTCCGGAGTAGGGTGCGGGGCAGATACACTGCTCAACTGATGACGCTTGTATGATCGAAGCCGGAAAGGTCTAGAGAAGTAGAACGTAGCAAAGGAAGTATTCAGACTTTTAGACTGCTTCTCAGACATCGAAGAGAACAAAAAAACAAAAAAAAAACAAAAAAAGAACCAGTCGCTCAAAAGCTTTAAAATATTTTTTTCTTACCTCATTAGAAATTTCAAGACCAAACTCGATAAGTTGCGCTGACCGAGGCTTGTTGTAATATGACACTTTCAGAGAGATATTCTGCAGTGAATGCAGAAGCATCATAAAGTCTTCCCGACTGATCGGCTGACCGCTAGAGGACAGAAAATTCTCCTAAAAAGATATTAGCGTGCTCAGTTGGTACAGAAAAATGAAATAAGACTATTGAAATCTAGTGAAAGATAGAGTAAATAATATGGGAAACAAGAAGAGAGAAAAGAAAAGTGGAAGGAAAAAACAGCACACTGGTCGTCCATGAAACTTGCAACACTGGAATATCCCACCGGTACCAGCTTCACTTTCACATTGAACGGTTGCTTAGGGTCAACCGGCTGCTCAGGAGCCCAGAATTCCACAGTCACGTTGTTTCCGTAAAGCCGTACATCTGCTTCGGTATTCAGTTTCACCTGCTCTTCGTTAGGTTGCGTTGAGAGTCGAAAATATAACTGAAATTATGGACCAGCTGCACGAAATAACGTTAGTAGCGTTAAAACCTGATTATAGGAAAACTTTAGAGGCTTACTTATCCAAGTAAGTCAAGTTAAGGTCTCTGAAACAACCACTCGGATTTTTTTATTCGTTTTCCATAATTAGCATTCTCTAACGACAATAGAGTGTTTAGCGCTTAGGAACCTAAGCAGCCTAGGACTAGATGATCGTCGAATTACCACCACCATAGTCACTTTTGTTCTTGTTCTTATATTCAAATTTTGCTTTAGATAGAGAGAAAAGTGTATCTCAAATCAAGTAGAAGGTTTTCTTAAAAATGTTGATCGTAACCTCCTCACTCCCTAAGCATTGACGAACACCAACCAACCATTAAGCCATAACTGGTGGTGTAATCCGCTAGATGATTGATAGGCGCATCCAAATAGACGTTTGTTGGCGAATCTTGGGAACCCTTATAGGTGAGCGTGTCGTCCTCTACGGTCAGAGTACCAGTCGGATCACTGGAGGTAAAAGCGGCCATATCAACTGCGCTCTGAAATTGCCAGTAACAAGAGAAATAGATTGAATTTGGAACAAATAAACACCTAAAAACTCTTCTGAAAACGTCAACCTATATTCGAAATAGTATCTTCATTTAAGGGCGCGTGTGGCGCAGTGGTCGGAGGCGCCCTGCAACACACACGTGGAATCGATCTGCGCCCATGGCCTATCAAGCCTTGCATCCCTCCGGACTCGGTAAATTGGTAGTAGACTTGCACTGGCTCGATACATCGGTAGGCCACCGTGGGTCATTGTAAAGGCCAAATATGAATTCAATCATCTCCGAGTGATGCTTAATGAATTCAAATGCGTGGCGCATCCCTCAGGAATTGATCAAAGTCGAGAGCTTTAGAGCTTTATCTCCATTTATGAGTTCTCAATTTCAGGAAGGCCCTTCTTCCCAACAAGTAGAAAAAAGCAAAACTCAATCAAAAATGATGGTTTTCTAGAGAAATAAAGAAAAAAATTAGGCATGCATAGTAAGCAGTATGTCGAGGAAAAATTTAATAAAGTTGAGAAACTATGAGGCAACAGTGGACGAAAACTTACAATAGTAACTGGGAACATGCTTGATTGACACTGATCTGTGACACCAAAGCAAAAGCAGTCAGTGCATCCTTTCGGATTTTCGGCTGAGAGGTCGAAACTGCCAGCTCTACAAATATCACACCGTGCGCCACCAACATTCTCCTGAAAATAAATCCGTGAGTCCCATAACTATTTAGCTCCCCACCTCTACAGACACGGTCTGCAAGCGTATGAAATTATGCATATAGTAGTAAATGGAAAAATGTTTGCCTAACTAATAGGAAAATAAATTTTTAAAGGACGAGAAATGGACAACAACTCCATGATATGTCAACACGAGAAACATTGAAAGTGAAAACCGGCAAGAGTTGCAAATTTTCAGAACACGGGGAATAAAATGCTCTGTGGTTTTGCAGTTCGCGCCATCTACCATGTTTCTCTCATATCAGAATATCTCTGGACTCTAAGAAGAATCGATGAGACAAGTATTTTATGTTATTCATAAAGAAAAAAAAATCCCCAAGAAACAGCCGAAATAACATGCAAAACGCCCTTTTGGATTACCAAGCTAAGACGGAGCTGATTAAACGGTTTGTTCGGCTAGCGTTTCGATGTCTTCGTCTTTTTTACAGCTAAATAGATCCCAGTGGATATAAACTCGCACGGTGAGTAGTCGATTAAAGACGAAAAAGCACACGAAATGTTCGAAGACCTTTGCGGACGACGAATACGAGGAAAAAGGAGTTGGATATAAGAGGTGCTGGGATCCGCACAGTATGTGAGAAAACGAGTCGTGCAAAGAAATTGGTTCTATCTGGGATATGTTTGTCATGCTGCAGCATTTTTGCTACCGACATTGTTTGCAACTCACTGACCTTACAACTGCACTGTGCGCTAGTGGCATCACAGATTTCTTCAGTTGTTCCGGCTTCGTTACATCGACATGCGTAGCAACGTGGGAAACTATAGAATCCTGGCAAACAGCGGTCACACTGCCTACCACCTATTGATTCACGACACCTGTGAAAAAAATTTAGGACATGACAATAGGGAAATGTATTATAAAACCGACGGAAAATGACATCTAATCGCAAAGGATAGCAAAAGAAGTCGAAAAGGAATAGTGCAAACGCCTTAACGTCAAGTAATCAAGTTGCTCATAATGAGCCTAGTTGAGCATACCGGTCATCTAAACAGCTTTAAAAAATGAAATAGACTTCATCAAGTATCGTCAGAGGTGGTTGGATACACATTTGGCGCAAACAATGACTTGCGTTGGCCTATCGGTGTGGGTATTCACCTCCGCTATCCTACCAGGCCAGTTTGGCATTGCTCTGTCCACTTCAAACAGATGGAAGACTTGATGAGCCCGGTGAACTGGGTAGAACCAACGACAACGTGTTTATTGCATAGCACCTCTAGCTACTGTACTACACGAGCCCCTTTGAAATCCAAAGGAATCAGGACATCATAAGCAAATGACTAAAGTAACTCACAAACACTGTCCACTATTTGGATCGCATTGTAATGAACCACCTTCAGAACCTTGCAAATCACATCCACACTGGAATTCATTAAGTGATTAGATATTTAACACTTTCACGATTAGCATAAAGCATAGTAATATTTCGAAACCGACTTTCCTTAAACACTGGTAATAAAAAGTTTAAAAGCCCAACTTTCTGTTTCATACGCCCATGAAATCATCAGGCATTGAGAAATTGGACACAGTTTAATGCTCAGTTCAAACACTATAGCACCAACAATTGTTCAAAGCAAGAAATCAGGAAAAAAACTAAGCTAAACTAGATGAGTCTATATTGGTCATTAAAATAACGGTGCAACGGCTTTGCAGACAACTATATTAGGCCAAAATATATACCTTCTGACATCCAATGAGAGGATCATAGCCGAATGCATATCCAACACATTTGTCGCAAGTCGTACCCTCAACAAAAGGAGGGCAGAAGCACTGACCTGTCTGTTCATCACACTGCTGTCCAAAGTTGCATCTGCATTCTGAAAGGTTTTGGTTATTGCAGAGTCAGCGGGAAAGGTGTTGAGTTTACCATATATATAAATATAAATGCATACATATGTAAATATTTGTATATATGTCTCACATTTAGGGAGCGTGTAGGTTGGGGTGCCACAGCGACACACAAGTGGAATCGACCCCCGAGTCCATGGCCCACCAAGCCCTCCACCCCTCCGGAGTTGGCAAATTGGTACCAGACTTGTCTAGGAGGGTAGCAACTCCGTCTCGATACATCTGGAGGCCACCGAGAATCATTGTAAAGGCGAGATATGGATTCAATCACCTCCAACGATACTTTATTAAGTCGAATGCATGACGCATTCCTCAGGGATTGGTCAACGCTGAGAGCTTTATCCTTTATCCTTTTATATTTCAAATCTAGCGGTGATGAACTGTCTGACGCCCTATGTTTCCAGTGTTCATATTTGTAGGCAATACTGTAGTACAATGCGGATTCACACAGATGTGTTTTCTTACTTAAATGGATGGCCCGCCTTCGCTGGTTGCGCGGACCCCAGCATACACCACCGGCAGTGACCGCCCTTGTGGATCGGAGGGAGATTTGCCACCATGAGACTAGTGTGACACTAGAACGGTGGTGGATCCTGGTATTGACTTCCTCTTGGCTGGCTTCTTGGTGGAAACGTCGAACTCCTTCCCAGCATGGATGACCATGTCGGGGGCACGAATCCCCCGCTGTACATCGCAGCCCGACACCCAGGAACACCTCCCAGCCATAACGAGGTGGTAAACAGTTGGGAGATGTTTTCATTGGTATAATATCCATAATCAGTCATTTATTATATGGCAGAAGCTGAGAACCACCAGAAAGGGATCAGTAGAGAACTACTTCAATGCAAACTGTTACTACGAGACACTAAACGGCGATATTCTGCTGTGGTTGATACTGATGCACTCAAAGAGAACAGATTACGTGCAATAAATATGTTCCATTACTCTTTATACAACATATTATAAAAAGATTTTAACTTACTTATACATTCTGGATAGTTATAATATCCAGGTGCACATCTATCACAACGGCGACCAATGATATTTGGCTTGCATTTGCACTGTCCGCCATATTCATCACAAGAAAAAGACTCCGATCCCTGAAAATACCCAGAGCTAACTGGTAATAAAAGCACTAGAAATTATGAGAAGTTACTTACTCTGGCATTGCAATCGCATGAAAATGCCGCAGCATTGAAATCTGTTGTCAGAGAGAAAATTCTCTCTCGGCAAAAATCCGAAACATTTTGAGGACTAAAAGAGTGAGCATAAGAATCAAGCACTATTATCAAGAGTTTTACTAGATTCTAGTTACAACAAAATAACTAAGTGGAAACAATTAAGGTCACTAAATCACTCCAACTATTCGCGACCGTATGAGTTGTACTGGATTCGAGTCGACAGGGCGCGAGGGACCGCATTGACCATGTACAACTCGTTGTCTTTCCGACTTTTCATTTCACGACGGAATTGTTTTTATGTGACAGAGGTATACAATATTCCTAGTGACTCAATGAGAAAAAGACTATTCGTCGGACGAGTGTGTTTAGCTGACCGAGATTGCACTTGAATACTTGAGTTCGACGCCTGGTAACATCTCTTCGCTGCGATAAGAAGGTAAACCACTAAGGAGGTTTGTATACCTTCAGTTATAGTACAGATGTATACTCGGCATCCACCTGCATCACTGTCGTGCCGTTGATGATCGGGTGATTCGACCGGGAGCCAGTAAACCTTCCATTTCTCCCTGTCGCGTGCAAGATTAACCCAGTAGGGTTCTGCTCGCTCTAGAAACTCGTTGAGCATCATACCTTTCTTCTAGGGTTTTCGTGAAGAACCCTAAACATCGGGTCGGTGGTCTTCCTGCAGTACACTAGACATCCCGAAAAATCCAGACACTAATGGGTCTTGTCTATCGGTCGTCGTTCATATGCATTACGCGTCGGGACCACCCTATCCTCGATAGTTTTGCGTACAGAAGTAGAAGTTCTATGTACTAAACTGTCTATACTCGGCATTAGCAAAACTATTGCCCTAAAAGGAGTAAACGTTCACAAACACCAAAATTCATACTCAATTAACCTACATATGGGAACTATTCCTCCAAGTACTTCCTATTTTCCGTATTACTGCGTGCTTCCTATACTAACTATTCTGGCTATTAAAAACATTGCCTTAACCTTATACATGCTTAATCATCTTTCATGGTAAATCTCTTTGCAAGCTTTCCCATACCGATCTCACAGGCCTCTTTTACAGGCTTCTTGTATAGCGTTTTATCTAATGTAGGTTCTGGCGGTTACGGAAACATGCTTTAAATCAGTCGTATCGGATTGCATTACCTAAAAAGAATTCTAGCCTTTCTTCCTGAGAAAATAGCTCTTAGTTCCTTTTAACAAAACCAATCTTTTTGGCCAATTATAGAAGCATAAAACGATAGAGCTCTCGGCGTTGGTCAATACCCAAGGGATGCACCATGAATTCGAATTGGCTAAGTATCGTTAGAGGTGATTTAAAGCATATCTAACCTCTAAAATGACTCCCGTTGGCCTACTGATGTATCGAGCCAATGCCGTTACCCTCCCAGACAAGTCTGAAATCAATTTGCCTACCCTGCACGGATGTGGAGGGCTTCGCGAGCCTGGAGCGCGGGGATCGATCCTATTGTGTGCCGGTAACCGCTGCGCTACACGCTCCCGCCTATTATGGAAGGAATATGAGCAGTCACATCATTCACCACTCTACTCGTTCGTTTAGAGCCTTTGTAGTCGTCATATCAATCTTGCCGCTCTAGTTTATGTAGTAGATTCCAACTGTCAAGATCTACTTCCACATTAGCACTACCGTATTTTAAGTATATTACTCTCTTAATAATCAACGCTAAGTTACTGGTACTACATTCTTACATATGCCTTCTACATGCTAATCTTATTTCACCGTTACTGCCATATCCTATGTGATATTTCTGAATCACATTACTTCACCAGTCTACTCTAGCGCCACTCTATTATCTGAAGCTGACTTCTCACTCATCACTTATCCATCTATCCTCGCTTAATGATTCCCTTACTCCTCTTGTCCTTTATACTGTTTACTCGTACGAAATCGGTCATTCTACCTCGGATCAGCAGTTATTCGGTTCCCAGAACTGACTCGTACGACTGTATTGCACAGAGCTGCTCAGTGTATTATAGATTGTTTTTCTTTGTTTTACACGTCCCGCTTTTCTCTATTGTGCACAACCCAGCACTTCCATTCGATTCATTTCCTCGCATCCATCATCAACGAACGTCTTTCAGATTTTCGTCTGTGGATTTGGCTACTGCTTGAGGATTATCGTCTTCTCTATGAATGTGGTTGGATGGTAAATGAATCGATTCTCTTTAGACTCCTGGATATCGGAGCAAGAATATTCCCACTTGGATTTTAGAAAGTGAACTGTCCTAGACAAGTCTGGTACCACTACCACTACGCTACCTCTGTTGTAAACAGCAGAAATTATAGATGTGACACTCGTAGAAATTTCTTTCACAACCCGGGAATCTTAAAATTTCCCCCTTCTATATTTTTTTTAGTGCTGACTTGTTTGCCATACATTGCAGCAAATCGAGAGCCTGCTATTCTATCCACAGTAGGATATTTTGCTCTTTTCATCATCAGCCATCCTCTTCTTCCTTTCAAAACTCCATCAGGATTTTCAGTTACGTTCTCAAAAACTTGAGTGCGCAGGGACAGTAATGATTTGGAGAAAACACAAGCACTCCTGTTTCTTAAAAACATTGATCTTAATGTTTAACGTTTTGTTTTCTGCCTTCTATAATTTTCATGGCAGGTTCATGCTGTGGCAAAAAGATCGATAGAAATAGCTGAGAGACGTGCGAAACAAAGGACCCGCATGGTGTGGTGGTGAACGCGTTACTCCCCGGAAAGGATAATAGCGCGTTCGTTCCCCACCATAGACACCTGCGGTCCAGAGTTTTGCAAATATCTCAGCAACGTTGTGATTGATCTTAATCTTCTGCCTTGCCTCATTGCAAATCCTCCACGCATTAACCGTGCATGTTTGATCGATTGAGTGGAAGAATACATGAATGAAGAACAGTTTTATTCGTATCTTTGAAAACAGTCACTCCAGTCCAATTACGTTGTGCCATCACTCTCTTCTACTTTTGAGTGATCCGCTTGGGAAGCCCTTTTCTATTCCTCGTGAACATACCGATCAAATGTCATTCTTTGGAGCAAGCTCCCCTCTAAGGAGACACTTTCATATCGATCATATGTATGCAAGTGGCTTCCACGATTCAGTGAACCGCTCAGGAAGCTCATTACCAATAATTGTCATTTCTTCAGCAACGTTGCCATTTCTGTTTAGGCCATTACGGCATACGCTGTAATTTTACATTTAGCTACCGTAACTACACAACCGTAAAAAAATTGCGACCATTAATTTTATTTGCTTTATTTTTTAAAATATTTTTGGAAATTTAATTTTTCTTGTATATATGTATATATATATACAAGAAAAAATAAAATGAAACACAAATAATTCATAAAAGTGTACTGGTTCAGTGCATCCAAAGATGTTATCCATCAGCAACAAACTGACTGTGATTGAAGTACCAGGACTACAGAGGCACCATATTAAATAACACTTCACCGGTGACCCGTCGTCGTCTCTATCGTCTCACACGCAATCCTCGCACTACTCATCCTCCTCAGTGTCCTCATTGTTTCCTGCCCATTTTCTACGAGAAGTCTATGGATGATATTATAGTCCATTTCGTCCTCTACCAACATGATTCCAGTGTATAAAATCCGGCTCTTTTCCTCTAATTGAGCGTTATTTCGTCTGCGTGACAAACATTGTAGTGCTGGATGCATGGAGGAGGTGGATACCACAGTGGTAGTGATGTCGGCCATTACGAGCATGGTACTAGTTCAATTCCGCGATGGACCAAACAAGTGTTTCATCCCTCAAGGGTCGGGAAATTGGTACCGGACTTGTCCGGAAAAAGAAGCACTCTCTGCAATCCAACTGGGAACGCTCCAGCACAGCTATCTCAGGACTTCAGGGAGAATCGATTCGACCTGCATTCTACAACATTCAAAATGAAATGAGAATCCTCAGGCAGCAGCCGAAACGAGACGTAAAAACTTGGAAGACCTTCATGGATGGTGGACGGATCGGCACGGTAGATGTGAAGACGGGTCATATAAAATATAGAAGAAAATATAAAACTGGATGCATAGAGAGAGAAGGTATATGAAAATTCCGAAATCAATTCCATACATGTCATAAAACTGACTACCAAATGCTGACAGCAATGAGGATGAATGGCAGAGTTCTCTTCAGATACCCAAATGTTGGAAATGTTCCAGAAATACTTTTTAAAGAAAAAATAAACAGAAATTATCAAAAAATGCACCGGACGGAGTGGGACAGAAGGGACCATGGGAATCCTACATGATTGATAGCGTAGGCGACGAAAAATTAGGAGTAGTCGCTAATGTGTTAGCGTTGTAATAACTCACAATTAAAACCCTTTAGTGGTTAAACAGAGGTGTGTATTACTAAAGCACCAAAAATTTTTTAAAATTCTTAGAAAAACGGAAAAAATGACATGTCACTGACTCATTTTTATAAAAATCGGCGCTGCATTGTTGAATGAATTCCGACGACAGGTCGATGGGTTGTAGTTCCATGAGATTTTTATTGTACGAATGATACGGCACAGCTGTAATCGAGTCCTAGAAAGTCCAAATGTAGTTACTGTGAAATACTTCCATTTCCGCAACCGCTCGCAACTCAATGCAACGCAACCTTACTCATGTGAACCATGGGCAAAGTTAGGCGGCAGGTTTTCAGCTGATTTAAAAGGGTACCAAAACCACTAAGGCGCACTCTAGGCAGGCAAGGTGAAAGGTTCCCACTCTCTAATGCTTTGAAATGACTTGTATATCTTAGGATAAACCTTATTATATCAATGTGAACATGTGTATATTCTTATGTATGCCTACGTATGCTTACGGGCACATGAATTATATACTTATCATGGATCCACTCAAAAACCTGTAATCAAATGAGTGAAAAGAACATAAGAGGCGGTCTCGCCTAACAAATAAGCTCGAGACATATTCCAGGACAGCACCGCAAACTACCCAAGAAATGTACTCAGCCTTCACAGCATAGCGCCGCGGGTTACCCTTGCGCATCTGAAATCGGTAATAACAAAAAATCTCATGCGAATGGTATGACGTCAGTGGGTAGCCTCCGTTCGGGATCAGTAAAAATAATGCTCTCATTCGAATGAACGATAGTGTGATAATATTCGTATCTATAGGTGCTGCACAAGATACGGTAATTACTGTTTCTGCAGTTACAAGGTTGTCATACCTGTTGACAAGCAAATTGCTCGAAGAGATTTTCGCACGTGAGCTACGAAAATACTAAACAGCTCTAAAAACACAAACTAACAATGAACACTGGCCCCTTCTGCGTACTGTTGTGGTATAACGTCGCAGTGTACCTGTCTTCCATCCAAAATTGCGTTACCTGAAGCATTTGTGTGTTTCACAGAGCACCAAACTAATCTGAAGCATCGTATCGTATAATTATTGTTTTCTTAAAAGTAGGGCGCGTGTGGCGCAGTGGTCGGGGGCGCCCTGCAACAGACACGTGAAATCGATCACAGCACGCACGGTCCACCAAGCTTTCCATCCCTCCAGGAACGGCAAATTGGTACTAGATTATTTGGAAGGATAGCAGTACTGGCCCGATACATTGTTACGCCACCGTATGTCATCGTAAACGCTAGATTTTCATTCAATCACCTCCCAACGATGCTTAATGAAGTCGAATGCATGGCGTGTCCCTTAGGGATTGTTCGACACCAAAAGCTTCATCCTTTATCTTAAAAGTACTTTTTGGCTACGATCTGTAATCAACTCACTTCCGGATTTTCCTTGCTCTTTACCAGCGCTCGGCAACCGCTAACAGATGGACAGTAGCCTAGTGGAACAATTGCTGTAAAATCAAGTACTGATTTTCTATGAAGTACTAGAATTACGTATTAGGAAAGCGATAGAACGCAATTCCAAAGCTTTCGGACACAAAGTAAGCAGACCATGAGCGAACGTGAAAAGCAAAACAAACCATAATATTCAGAAGGAATTTCACTTCCTGAAACTTTCCATTACTAGAGCCTCCATCCATAAGATAAAAGTTTAAAAAACATCTGGTTTGATCACATGTTTTATGTATATATATACATATATGTACATATGTGTATATGTATATATATATATATATATATATATATATATATATATNAAGGACATGTTAGCTTCACTGATTGCCCTTCCAAATTAGCACAAGGCCAAGTAGGCTTACCCATTTACGAGTTCATAGGAAAAGGACATATATGTATATATATATATATATATATATATATATATATATATATATATATATATACATATATGTACATTTATGTCCTTTTCCTATGAACTCGTAAATGGGTAAGCCTACTTGGCCTTGTGCTAATTTGGAAGGGCAATCAGTGAAGCTAACATGTCCTTATGATTCCAAAGGCACAGTCCAAAAGTTAAAAAAGCTTACCTTCATAGAAATGGTCATTCTGTAGTAACACTGCCACGTCAATCGGTGTATTGTCTGGATTGAAATACTGTACAAGAAATACGTAGTGACCGCGTCCAGGTACTACACCCATCATTTCTAACGTGCCCTAAACTAGGAAACGTAGCTTTCGAAGGTGACCTGAACATGAATCACAACGGTGCTTAGATATGAGCAAAACTCAGGACCACAGATAGGCCTCGAAGCCGTGATTACCTCTTGCGATGGATCACGTGCTGTATACCACACCAATCGAAGCCCTTCCCTTGCCTTTCTCTCAGCTAGTTTTTTACTCTAGCGGTGCTATAAGCATACTCCCGTCGATGGCAGTGATCTAGGAGGTGCAAATCGGCACTGAACGTAGTTAATCTAACGAGTGATTGCTAATAGAATTGACAAAGTAATATGGCTGAGAAAAAGGTAAAGTAAAGACCTTGTTTGGTGGGATGGATAGCGCTTGAGCTCTCGGTAAAGATAATGGCGGGTTCGAAGCTCGCCTAAGGTCCCGAGTTCTGATAATATCTTAGCATCCCTATAGTTGCAGTTAACATAATATCCTGCCATGAAAAACGAATAGGTAGTAAATAAAATGCTCATGTAGTGAATTGAACAAGCTCAAAAAAATTATCAAACTAGGTTTCCGTTTCACCAACAAAAAATTTTAACAGGTTATCTCAATTTTTTGTAACTCACCTGACTCTCGTCTAATGGAACAACTGCTACATCTTTTGGATTCGCTATTGGAAATGGTAATTTCTCCCCTGTTATAGCTTTATCCTAAACATGAATAGAACCATCAGAATAGTTGCATTATTCGACAGGATTCCGAAGTTAGTCGATAATTGGAGCGAAATTTGTTTCCTTCTCTTCGAATTTTTTTCCCAGACTTTTTCCAGAAAAACACCTGATTTTGTCCAGCCTCAGCTTCTGCAATAATGGAATTACCAGCAGGTGGATGTTGTTGTGGAACACATCTGCCATCTCTGCGAACACAGACTGGCACCTGCAGTTATCTCATCAAAGATATTTTCCTCAACTAGCGAAATAATCTCTTCTAACCTGTTGCAAATATTCACTATTCCATTCTTTCTTAGCAATAAGGTTTATTGCAGCGAGACCAAATTCGGTCATTGGCGGTACGACGAGTTGTGCTGTGGCGGACCCTTTGGTTAATGGTATAACCGATACCTTCCCATCGTCAACGACCACTTCACGACAAAATGTTCTGTAAAATTGAAGGAAGGAATGCCTAAATACAATCAGTAATAGGTGGAATATTTCGTGGAAGGTCTACAACTTGATTGCTATAATTTGGACACCATATTTCTTGAACCCACCTTAGTTAACAAGTTCGTGTTTCATTTTTGAGAAAATACGCGGTTGTCAGCAACAAGATTTGTTCAATAACGGCTAACGTTTCTGCAGTTTCAATTTCCTTAGAGCCGTTTTGTTTTTATAGGTCTTGCTTACCCATATAGGACTCCGTGCGCTGCAGTCCAATGACAACTGGAAGCCCCATGAACAACAAAACAGCGCTGAAGAAATCGAAACTGCTCAAACGTTAGGCATTATTGAATAATTCCTGTTATTGATAACCTCGTGTCTGCTCAAAAAAAGACATTATTGAGCAATCCCGCGGTCAATAGAATGAAAAAAACGCACGCAAATGGACAGTGGTGGATAGAAATGGTTCCGTTAGCTACCATATTACCCTCCTGACTGAGCTCAACAGCGATCGGTAGCTGGTACCTGGCTAGATTATGGTATTCCACAACAACTACGTATTCGTAGTCTTCTGGAACTTCAATTTTTGCCTAAATAAACCAAAATTTTCTGCCGTAACAGTAATTCAATAAGTTATACAACAAACTTCTGTAACTTTCTCCTTCTCCCCGGTTTGCACAAAAGCAGCGGGACCAATAATCTCAGGAAGCAATTCAATCGGAACCTTAAAGGACGTTTAAGAGACATAATCGAACTGTAATGTTTATCTTTAAACAATACATTACTTTTTTAAGATCACTCGTTGTGCCATCCATGTGGACTTCTTTGAAAGTATCCGGATTTTCTGTGACATCAACGCGTGCGCTCATTGCCATCGGTGGATATAAAAGATCAACACAAGTTGTGTTATATGCTGTATGCGCTTCACAAGGTGGTGCAGCACGCTCTTTCAGAATACTTCCAAGATAGTACTCGGCCGGTAGCACGACGACAAAGTCCTTAATGTGGTGTCAAACGCATAAATTCCCAGCGAAGTGAGTTTGTACAAGAGCCAGTTAACAAACTCAAATCATCAAGTTTCCATACATGTACAAAAGTTGACTAAAAATCTATATAATGTTTAAATTGAGAATATCTGGAAGTTATCAATGATTTTAAAATTGGTTAACTAGACCAAAAAGAATTACCAAGAACAAGCGCTGTTTAGTAGAAACACTAATCGACCACTTTCCGGGATTAAGGACAAATGGTTTACCAGCAACTGTCACTTCCTTAACTGATGGAATTTCTGTGGGTACGAGTGCAACCTTTTCCGATTGCTCAATATCTGAAGAACAACGCAATAAAACAGACCTAATATTTGGGATAACAAAAATGGAACCGGCCTTACCTTGAGAATGAGTCATTTTAGGCGCAACAGTAATAAAAGCAGTGACTGGTACCGTAGTAGGGTTGTGGTAGCTTAATAGTAGCTTATAGACTGAGGCCTGTAACAATATTCAAATCACATCCTACTTGGTGAATTGTAAAGGGAAATTTGCATCCTATTGTATTTTTCTACCATGAAATCTTATTCTCTAATCTAGACGAAGAATAGCGTTGCATTCATTAAAACGGCATACTTTGGCAACATCGATATCCAACAATACTTTATCTTGTATAGTGGAGAACACAGCATAACCACGCCAACTGAAGTCAGGAAACTGGTCTTTATCGACTGCAAAACGTACTGGTCTCTGGTCGTCGGTATGTCCGTCTTCGGCTTCATACTTAAGCGAATGCTTTTCAACCCATAGAAACGAAACAGAAGAACAACAGAATAGAAAATAGAAATAACACAATAAGCACAGTGCCTGATGGTGCCATAAGGTCGGAAAATAGTGATTCTCGATAGGTTTGTCGCATTGCAAACCGGTAACTCGCGGACGGCATCGGCACTGCCCAGTTAAAGCATCACAATCCGCTCGAAGAGCACCACCGATATCACATTTGCACGCTAAGATAAATCACATTTAAAACAATCCAAAATTGATTTACTAAAGGTTTCATACTCATCGTCAAGTTGCTGCATATTCTTGGTTCGTTTGATAAACTTACACCAGGTTAATAAATTATTTTTATTCGATTAAAGCTTCAACGTCTTCGTCTTCATCAGAGCCGATGATCCGAGTCGATGGTCCTCAGTTGGTCGTCTTCTCGATTTGGCATCTTTGTCCTCGTATCGAGTCGGATCTTCCTCAATGGATCAGTATTGATAGCAGCTGATAATGGCACCGACTACCGCAGGGTTGATTATCCGGGAAAAACCAGCCGTTATCACTGAACAACCACTATTGTCAACATCCATCACCCTGTATAACAGAGCATCATCTGGCGATGCCTCATTTGAGCGGTGCTCCACTGAGGAAGATCCGACTCGATACGACGACGAAGACGCCACATCGAAAACGAACAGCTGTTGACCATCGACTCGGATCATCGGCTCTGATGAAGACGAAGACGTTGAAGCTTTAATCGAATAAAAATTATTTATTAATCTGGTGTAAATTTATCAAAGGAACCAAGAATATACAGCAACTTGCTCAACGAGGGTACAGAGAATCAAAACAAGATTTCAATCACTTCGAAGAAAGCAGCTTCCTTACACAGAAAGCGGTGAATATGCAGAGAAGAGCTTTCAGTGTGATTGAAATTTATGGAGGTGTTTCGTTGGATAGATTGCGGTAAACTCCTCAATTCCACGCCCTGAAGGAGACGAAATACGCCGAAGCGTCAGCTTTGCCGTCAATAAAGAATAACGTAATACTTCGCTTTCGCTCGTTAAGAGTGTAATGAATTATTTGAGCAATGCCAAGGTTGATAGAAAACCAATTTTGGGAATAGCTTTCTATACACAGGCCGTAAAAAAACTTATGGAGAAGACCTGGAAACACGTTTCCTCAGCTAACTGGGCACTTCATAAATAATGACGCTCGGTCAGCATTTAACCGAAATAAAAGAAGGTTACATATTCTCAAGCCGAAGCTGAACCCATACGCGAGCTCCGCCACCGAACTATGACTATTGCAAGACAAATAAACGATTGAAGAAAGTAATTCCCATGACCGACTTTCTGTTAACCTCGGCATTAATTGATAATTCAATGTTTTTCATCAATAAGCAGACACGAGGTTGTTAATATAGAATTTATTAGAACACAATTGCTGACGTTTCGGCGGTTTCGCCTTCTTCAGAGCCTGGAAAGGTCAAATTGAGATGCGATCTACTCAGCCAAACACTTTCATAACCCTAGCAGATAAAACTTGATAAATCGGCTCCGTTTCTGTTGCCCTTTATTTCAAACGAAATAAGTGCAGCTATAAAACGCTGCTTAATAAGGGCCGGTCTAGAGAATTTCGTAAGAGTGATAGAAATACCACCGGACACTCTAAGACGCCAGCTAGTTCGCAACCGCCTGTACGACCGTCTATGTACAACAAAAAACTGCATAATTTGCCCAAATGGTAGAGACGGTGATTGCATGAGTTCGGGTACAGTCTATCTGATCTCTTGTAAAGCGTGCGGGCACGAATATGTTGGCGAAACGGGTAGACCGCTCTGCGTCCGCATAAAAGAACACCTAGTCGGTAAATCTAAACTAAAACACAATACTCCACTAGGCGCGCATAGGATGCAAGAACACAACGGAGAAGATTTTGAGGTAGGAGTCACTATCCTTACGCAGGAATCGAAAACATCAGCGCGAAAAACTCTTGAAGCGTTTTGGATCAATGCCAAAAATTCAAAAATGAACCGCAAGGAGGAGTGTCTTGTCATCACGCGTGACCTGGCGCCATACCTCAGGCTGATACAATGATCTGACATGGACCCAGTTATCGACCATGTATTACTCTGTGCGGCGGCTATCCACCAACTAACTTAAATACTTACAACAAATAAACGGTAGNAGTCTATCTGATCTCTTGTAAAGCGTGCGGGCACGAATATGTTGGCGAAACGGGTAGACCGCTCTGCGTTCGCATAAAAGAACACCTAGTCGGTAAATCTAAACTAAAACACAATACCCCACTAGGCGCGCATAGGATGCAAGAACACAACGGAGAAGATTTTGAGGTAGGAGTCACTATCCTTACGCAGGAATCGAAAACATCAGCGCGAAAAACTCTTGAAGCGTTTTGGATCAATGCCAAAAATTCAAAAATGAACCGCAAGGAGGAGTGTCTTGTCATCACGCGTGACCTGGCGCCATACCTCAGGCTGATACAATGATCTGACATGGACCCAGTTATCGACCATGTATTACTCTGTGCGGCGGCTATCCACCAACTAACTTAAATACTTACAACAAATAAACGGTAGGTGTTTGAATGAAGCTGTTTCTTATGCGAATACAAATCGATTTATCAAGTTTTATCTGCTAGGGTTATGAAAGTGTTTGGCTGAGTAGATCGCATCTCAATTTGACCTTTCCAGGCTCTGAAGAAGGCGAAACCGCCGAAACGTCAGCAATTGTGTTCTAATAAATTCTATATTAACAACCTCGTGTCTGCTTATTGATGAAAAACATTGGATTGAAGAAAGTGCTGGAATCATGACGATATGTGAAGACGTATCATTCAATTACTTTTGCCCAGAGAACCACTACGATTGTGTGTGCAAGATCGGCTTCCAAATTTCATGAGGGAGTTAAGAGCCTTTCAGATGAGAACAATTGAGAACGATCTCTGTCATAGACGCTAACTGAAGTAGAACCGATTTTTCACAAACATTTAATAACTTCCTGAAAGAACTGGGCATGAGTTAAACGACAATTCTGAAATGCCTCAACCGAATCGAAAAATCTGAGAAAAAAAGGACTTGACAAGCGAAATGAACGAAAAGAATCGATCCGTGTTTACTACATCTGCTTTGCGTTCTTCCACCCGAATGAAAACGATTCTTTTTCCTTACCATATTTATATGTGTCGCAGCTATAAGAAAGAAAGGGACAACGATCCCAAGTAACAAAACTGAAAAAATTTCGATAACGTACGTTCGCAACCTAATTGGTTGAAGCCCTGAAGATTAAAGAAACCATCCGCACACTTCTCACATTGCCTCCCAGCTGTATTTCGTTTACAAACACATTGACCAAATCTGAAAGCGGAATCTGCTTGATAAACACATCCCTAGAATTTCCTAGCACATAAAATGTATTATGGCATCGTTCAACCCACCTCAAATCGCAGATGTCTAGCATTGAAAGTGTTCCGTTCAAATGACAACGGCACTCTTTAAAAAAAAGAAGGATTATCTTGATCTAGATAGTTCACAAAATCAGGTTATTACCGACGCATCCATCCTCGTGATGGTATTGAAGATCCCAGAATGTTGGCTTACACTGATCACAAATACGTCCATCAACGTTCTTTCGACACGAGCACAACTCACCAGGTTTCACCTACACAAAGTTTTTGGAATTGTTAAAACCAACATCTCGCTAGTTTTTTGTTCATTTTCTGCCTTTACACATTAACCGTTTAGAAGAAATAAAATCACACACCTTATCACAACCAGCAAAATCAAGTGTTACCCCCGCTGGGTGACAGTTACACTCCTCGCATGTGGGAAAGTTATAGAAATTAGGCTTGCACCGATCACATCGTTCTCCCTGAGGTTGGAATTAAAATGTAGAACAATCAACTTGGAGAAAAAGACCGAGTTTGATAATATCGCTCTTCTTTTTACAATAAAGAAGGCACCTCAAAGTTTTCTTTGCAATAACACTGTCCCCTACTGTCACACGCTTGCCCTTTAGCACCGTCAATGAAGCAACCGCATGCCTAAAAATTGGTCGTAACATCGTCAAATATCTGCTCGCTTTACAAAAAAATACATTAGTATTTAAAGGATTTTGTCCCACATTACACTTACTTTGCAATTAGGATAGTCGTAAAATCCAACAGCACACTTGTCACAGATTCGGCCAGTAAAATTACTGTAGCATGGGCATTGTCCTGTGCTCATGTCGCATTCCAAAGCTTTAGCGCCTGCTCCCACACACTTACATTCTGAAATTCTCGTAATTTACGAAGAGACTGCTTTATTAACATAACATAAGTAAACCATATATTACCTTTGCAGTTCGGATAGCCGTAATAGCCAATGTCGCACTGATCACACTTCTCACCATAAAATCCGTCTTTGCACATGCACTGTCCAGAATGAGAATCACATACACCGTTTTCGGTTCCGAGAGGATCGCAGTTGCAAACTGTCAGCAAAAAAATGGATAAGTGAGTAGTTTCTTTTTCGACAAAAGCAGAATAATCCTCAGTTAGTCAGAATATTAAACAACCCTCACATGTACAGTTTGGAAAACCGAAAAATCCAGTTTGACACTGATCACATTTTAGTCCATTAAAGGATGGCTTGCAAACACACTGTCCTGTTGTGGCTGAGCAATTCGAATGTGCCGCACCAACTTCGTCGCAGACACACTCTTAAGGAGATATATTACAAAAAAACAGCTGAATAAAACGCTTCAGCTCTAAAACAACTGATATAATACTGACTAAGAATAAATACAAGGGTTGTATAACCAATTTAATGTACAATAAGACCTTACGAACTGCCCTTGTTGAGCTGATATGAGGTTCGTACAGGTTGCCGCTGCCTTTGCTGTAGCTGTTGTTCGATGGCTGACGTTTCGCCGAGTTTGCATGCTTCAGAACCCGGACGTATAACACAACGATTGCCTTACAAATTGATAAAGTATCTACAGTGCTAATGAAGCTCTAGTATATAGATGAACGCCACTCTGCTTAAAAACTGCTCACCGTGCTGCTGCGTGTGGGACCAGCCGAGTGTTGTTCAGGCGGAACGTCTAGTGAGACCCACTTAGGTTAGAAAATTAATTCGAAAAAAGGCGCCAGGTTACGTGTCATAGTGGGGCGCTGGACCTTCTAGTTCATCTTTGGACTTTCAAAATATATCCAAAGTGCCTCGGGAGTCTCGCGCGTTAATCTTTTTTTAAACAAAATGACGTTCGCTTACATGCTAGATCTTCACTAACACCATGAATATTTCGTCGAATTATAATAGGTTATCGTTGCATAAGATATGTCCAAGCTATGAAGAAAGCGAAGTCGCCGAAACGACAGCATTGATCAACAGCAACAACAACAACAACAAACAACAACAATAACAACAACAACAACAACAACATATACCAACCTCTCATCAGCTCAACAGAGACAGTTCGTAAGAATATGTATGCATATATATGTTTATATATGTATATATATATCGATTATTTATGCCGAGATTTACAGAAGGTCGGCCTTTTGGGTTATAACAACATCATTTGCTGTTGATGTTAATAGAATCAAGAAGCCGATAACGCAGTGTTAGTGATGCCGATCATCACGAACACGCTGCTGGTTCAACCCTTCCTCAGGCCCACCAAGCCTCTCATCCATCAACGGTCAGAAATGGCATCAGACTTGGTTATAAAAAATTCACTCTCCTCAACCCAAGTGGAGACGTTCTAGCCAGGGTATCGCAGGACTCTAGGGAGAATCGACTTGAGCAGAATTCGGCGACATCCACAAAGAAGATGATAATCCTGAAACAGTAGCCGGGTCTATAAGCGAACAATCCGTAAACCGCCGTGGACGATGGATGCGCGGAAACGAATCGAGTGCAACAAGTGTTGGGATCTGCATAGTAGATGTGAAAATGGATCATGAAAAACAAATTAATAGAACCAATTTAAATACAACCAGTTTATGCGGAAAAGAAGTTGTCTTTCAGGAGTAAATACCTTTGCATCCTGCTGTAACATTGGTGAAACCGTCTTCACACGTTTCGCAAAATATTCCCCCAAATCCTGGTTTACATGGACACTGTCCATTATCGGGCTGAAACCTTTAAATCTAAACTTCTGCTGCAACAGAGAGATCTAGTGAGAAGAAATTATACAGAACTCAACCAACTGGCACAACTATGAGTGATTAGTGATAGCCTTACGAAAAACTCATGAATAAAAACATGGAGTTTCACGTAACTCACCGAACAGACATCTCCTGTGGTTCCCTCAACGGTGCATTCACATTTCTTACACTCTGGTGGGTCGTAATACCCTTTAGAACATCTGTCACAATTCTCGCCCTCAAACCTTGGCTGACAATAGCAATTTCCAGTTCCTTCTTCACAATTTCCAGTATGCTTAGTTGGATCGCAGGTGCAAGCTAAAATTTTACTAACTCTCAATATTATAGACAGCAGTGAAGTAGTTTGAATCGGGCAAATAAATTCTCCTCTTATTAAATTGTTTTTTTTTTTGGAGTAGTGATATATATTTCTGTGCATGTATGTGTAAATACGTGGAAATGTACTTCACTACTCCAAAAAAGTACATCCTCCCAACGGTTTACCGCCTCATCGTGGCTGGAAGGTGTTCCTGTGTGTAGGACTGAGGTGTACAGCAGGAGATTCGCCTCCGGCAGGGTCTTCCAAGCTGAGGAGTCCGGTGTTTCCATCAGGAAGCCTAGCTAAGAGTAAACCAATATCAGCGTCCACCACAGTCCTGGTATCAAAGTCGCATCATGGCAAATCTTCCGTTCCACAAGGGCTGCGACTGTTCGTGGTAGAGAAGACCAGGGGCAGACTTTGGTCAGACCGACCTCAGGATTCCAGGGAACCACAATGGCTTAACCAGCAAATCTCCAAAAAATGGTGATTATGCTGGGTCCGCACAACCAGTGAGGATGGGCCATTAAAGTACCAATTAAGCAAGTGAAGTACATTGACTGACTTCCTTCATGCAAAATGTATGTATCCAGTGTACTCAGTCTTTCAAAAATATTTTTTGAAAGCAATGAGAGTACTCGAACTTTCGGTGGAAACTGAAAACATACGCTTGCAAGGCATCATATCGCTCCATTGAACACCATCAGGACGATAATAACCGAACGAGCATTTGTTACAGTTAACACCTTCCGTATGATCCTAAATAATTTCGACTTTGAATTGCTCTCATATTTCACTATTCCAATGAAAAAAGTGCCCCAGCTAATGAAACTATCATGCAGCGCTGATCTTACCCGACAATTTAGACAACGTCCACCTCCTTCGTAATTACCATGAATATCAAGAGAGAGCCGGTTTACGAACACGTCTTCATCATACACACATTCATCGGAACGGCCAAAGCAATTACATGCTAAAAAAAGAGAATAATTTGATTGCTTCATAAGAAGGAATAGAGTAGAACAGGCAAAGAGATCCCTGTTATTAAGCTTACGGCCCAACCTACAAATGTGTTGGTTCGACCCTGCCCTGTAGCACCAATATTTCGCACCATGCGTGGTCTGGAGACATCACTCCCTCTAACTCAAATGTGAGCGTCATGGTTCAGATATCAGGATTCAAGGAAAATTAGACTCTGTGAGCTTTCAACGACAATCATGAAGTTGATGAAAAAGTCCTCAAGTAGCAGCCGAACCCATGCGCAAAACAGTTTGAAGACTTCCGTGGATGGCAAGGAAACAAGCCGATGTGCTGGGATCTGCGCAGTGTGATTCATATGATGTCAGGTCGTGCAATAGGAACTAGAAAGCAAAAAAAGTACACGTAAGTCGTACGTTCACATGTGAAATTGTTGTGCGCCGTCGTTGGCTGCCACCTCTTTTGCTCAAATCCTGGACAACACCGCTCGCACATATCTCCACACGTATTGTGTTCACACCTGAACATTAATATCATTCATATCAAAAAAGGAGGACGAAACTGAGCAAAAAAAAAACACCTGCACAAAAGTGTACGGGGTCTCCTGGGATCCAGAATATCACAAGTACCAGCATGACCATTGCAAACGCAACGCCCTCCCATAAGAATTTCTTTGATGGAGTAGAAATACTGTAAATTTTTGAACATTTATTAACATTTATGGTGCTTTCCCCAAATGGAAACTACCTAATTGGAACTGGAAGTATAGCAAGGCCTTGTTTTTAGCTGCGAAATAATCATCGTGTTGGATGGTCACCTGAACCCAGTAACAAGGCAAAAACCCATTGCCTTCTTAAAAAAGTTGCGAATGTTAGTCGATGAGCTGCTTGATTCCCGATTTATTACCTTCGAACTTGACGAATTGTTTAGAGACAGGTGAATATTTCGGATCTCAGAAAGTGAAGATGGAAAAGCATGAAGTTCTGGTCATTCCCTAGATGTGGAGTCGTTCATCAACAAATTCAGACAAATTCACCCACTAAACAAGCCTTCGAGGTTCCTTTCTGTGAAGTAAATACTATGTCGAGGGGTCAATTCGAGCTTGAATGGACCGCTTCCTTCTCACTGTAATATCCAGCCCATTAAGCTGCTCTCAGTGGGAGTTTTTGTCGACCTGTTCGGCTCTTAACAGAATAGAAAATGGTGAATAGTGCACAGCAATAGTTTCGCCGGCAGTACAAACGAATCTTGCAGGTGTGTGTACGTCATAAGCTGAACAGACCCGTTCTCCCACATTACAGTCAAGAGGTACAGGGCGTGTTGGTACAATAAAACAACTAGCTATCGCTTCCTGTTATTCATTTCTACTTAGAACAGGAGCATTAGTTGGCAGAACGTTGCAAACGGATTCATTTATTTGGTAACAAATTTACCACACCATCATTCTGTGATTGGTGACAGCACGGTGGTAGCTTCAATGGTGAAGTGGTGACATCATGGTACTTCTGTGAATTCCTGCTTCACATCGGAATTCGGTCCATATGTCGCTGCGTCTAGTCGTCTTCGAAGGAGAAAGAAAGGCCACGAATTATGCCAGTTTCCAATATAGCGTCACTAGCGATAAAAACTTGCGAGACCGACGTGATCTCACCTTTTCATCACGTAAATCACGAATATTGTTGGAGATGGTGGCCTATGCGCTGCTGGACAAGAGGTTACTCATAGAAGATGATCATTGGAATTCAAAGGTTGTGCGATTCTTCTTTCGTTGTTTTTTACCGTTCGCTTACAAGCCTCTGCTCCTAGCTGCTCTTCCACAACTGCGTTTACTTTCTTGAGAACTACAGCTTGTGAAAACACAAGAGCGTAGCAGACTCATGGACGACGACTTGCTTTGTTGTTCCAAAGACATAAACATTTTTAAGACTAAGATTTTCGAGGGTTTCAATCAAAAAGTCAGTCCAAATAACAGCCCCCAACACTATTATGAAGTTGGATGAAATTCCTTTTGGTTAGGCACTTAGGAACTCAAAGTAAAAGCCTCGACAAAAACGGACAAAAAGAAAGGATGTTTGCCGTGTTCCATAAGACCAAAATTCCATCATGAAGATAGGCAAATATTTTGAGAGAATCAATGGATCTACTTGCTTTCATCCAAATCAGTAAAGTTAACCACAAAAAGAGATTTTGTTATTCGAAACTAGGGAATACCATCACTTGCGAAGTCAATTCATGCCGGTCTTTCCCTTGTAGTTATCTATTTTTCGTTTATATATATATATTTATTTATTTATCTGTCCTATTAATGTTTGTATATATACGTATGTATTAGCCGCTTCGTTAACGTACCCTTCTAGTCACTGTCGGATCTGTCCTATCATTAAGGTGCATTAGATGACCTTGAAGCGTTCTGGTCCCAAGTAGACGAATTCGTACATTTGTCGCACGGGTGAAATTCTGGAGCGCTTCCGATGAAGAGAATTTGAATCGACTTGGGCGGTGCTCAAGAATTTTGATCACCATCTGGAAAACGCGGTTGAAATATTGCATCAAAGACGGCGACAGTATACTACTCGCATGCGCTTTTGTTTTTACCCCGACTGTGGCATCAGCAATCACCCAACAACGGGAATGATCTGAGGAGCACAAATCCTCATTGACGCAAAACACAAACTACCATTGAATAAGAGTGGAGAATCTTCCCGATAATCCTTGGCATTAGAAAAATTCTAAATAATTCCGTGTAAAGTTTACTTTATCAATTGTAATACGACGGATGGCTTGTAGCCTTATCCCATGCCGTAGTTTTACACTACTGTCTATTTGTCTTAACTATGGGACTGTTATGGGGCGGGTAGCGCAGTGGTAGTGATGTCGATTATCACGAGCCATGGTGGTGCTTCGACCACGCACTAGGCTCTCCAAACCTGCCATCTTGTTGAACACGAGCGCAACAGTGTTCTAGAGAGCCAGTAGTCGAAATATATTAATAATTCCACTGAGAATACATTCTAGAGCAACGTGAAAATTTGTTCACAACCTTAATCATAAGCAGTTTCTACCGAAAAATCCCACCTCAGCATTCTCAAGAGGGTGAATACCTGCCAAATCGGAACGACATACAACTCGATCATCTTCGGAGATTGGAGAGAGTGACTCCATACCGAATTGCTAAATTAACCTTTATTGCGTAAATGTTAGCTAACTATTAATCATTTGCAAAACAAGTAGCTTTTTCTTGAAACACTTTGTCTGTGTATTTAACACTTAGAGAAGGCGAGAACATCCGTCTAGCTCGTGAATTTATCTGAGGCCTACTCCTAAAATTCTTTAGCGTCGTTAACTCCTGTTGGACTATTTTGTAGGTATTAAATAGCAAATGATTAGATTAGAGCTAAATTATTGACTTACATTCACTACTGCTGTCAAATAGGTTCTAGTTGAGCTATAGTTCTAGTTCAGAGCTATACTTTACGAGCATAGAGGATTTTTAAGCGGTGCGTAAGCCCACGTACTTTCACACCCAATAGAAAACGTCATTAGGTAACACAAATCACCCGAGATTCATTCAGTATACTGAACTGGGGTTGGGCGAAGTGGACCAAGTGCATGTCCAACAGGACAACGTGCACTGTTTTTTTTTTCAAAAATAGAAAAACAGTTTGAAGGAACTGACTCTCATGCACTCTGCTGGGGTTTCGGCAAAGAAATACCATGGCTGAAAAGTCTTCCCATAATCTGTAGATCTTTCCAAAATCCATGTTCCTGGCTTGGGACTGTTTGCCATTTGAATCCAGACATAGGCCACGTGAAACTCCTATTTAAAAAAAAACATTTAAAGTTCACTTAATCTAGTTATTGAACGAATTTGGGGTGCAGAAAAGGGAAAGTGTGTTCTTTGGGGAGTACCTGCTCCAGATCAATTGTGATATTAACGTGGTTGAACTCCATTCCTCTAGAAAGAGGTGGAGATTGCCACCAGCTAGTATTGCCATCAACCATATTTTCCGCAGGATGCTCATTCTCTGTTCCGGCCATACAATGACCACATCCGTGACCGCCCTAAAATTTGAAGCTATATTATAAACACAACTACAATGATGTTAAGATATAACTCGTATGAAATGCTGAGATATTTGCAAAACTCCGGACCACAGGTGTATGCAATGGAGAACAAACACGCGCTGTCGTCCTTACGGGGGAGCAGCGCACTTCACCACTACGCCTACGATCTGGGGAGCCACTATCGGCATTGAACCCAGTAAAGCTGAGGCTTAGTTATAATCACAATCTTAACTCTTTTATTTACTGCCTTTTTTTGCCTTGATGCTAAGATATTTGCAAAACTCCGGCACGCAGGTGCCTGCGGAGTGGGAACGAACGCGTTATTACCCTTTCCGGAGAATAACGCGTTCACCACCACATCATACGGGTCCTTCGTTTCACCTGCCTCTCAGCTAGTTCTATCGATCACTGCCATCAGCAATCAACCGTCAAGGGGATTGATCTGAGGAGCTCTAATCAGCAATAAACCCAGTTAAGCCGAAGCTGTAGACGAAATCACAGTGTTAACTTTTTATTTACTGCTTATATATATAAATATATATATAGGAGGTCTACAAGGACAAAACAAAAGTGATTTCGTGTTAGGATCACTTCATTTTATTCAAAAAAGCAAGAAAATGGTCCAGTGGAGATAATTAATACCATGAAAATGGTGCCTACAACATTGATTGGCCCCCTGAGAAGTCGAGAAAACGACAAATGCGAATTTAATTGCCGAGTTTTTGAAGAAACTAATACATCGCTTAACATTTCTGAATTGATTTATGGCATGTCTGATGAATGTAGGCCAACCTGAACGAAAGCTTCACGCTCCTGGCGAAGTTCAGTAAACGGAAAAGGACTATTGGAGTCCTCTTGATATGAGTAGTAGTTCAACGGCGAATACTGTGTTGACCCTGAACACCAATGGATCACAAATATTAACTGGCAAGCCATCGGCTCGGGTTTATATGAAGGATATTATAAAGAAGTCCACTACACTTGCTTATTGTTTCCTCCAGTTACCAAGGAAAACGCCCCGACTATTTGTATTTGACCAGCCCGTTTTTTTAAACTGCTTCGTTGGCAGTTCTTTGACAGCCTTATAGATTGAGGACGTTTTATCTAGAACTTTCACGAAGCGCTTCTTCCTGACAAGTTTATGAGATGGGCTAAAAACTCTGGAATTTAGATAGTTGGTGATAGCGAGAGAAGTGACTAGTAATGGTTGTCATTACATTATCCTTCTGCTTGGTTCGACAATTGAACATAAGTTTTTTCTCGGCCCACACAGAATTATTTTTTTCTAGTTTAGAGAACGCTTCCGATTATTCTGATCATAGACCTTCTATTAATAAATCGAAGCGGTCTTTCTATGCAGCATGTAGTGCAATGTTTGGAGCTTTTCTGTACTGGATCGGTCGTTGGCTCGACTTTGTAACCGAGACAGAGCAAGCCCCTAATTCCTCCGACGTCTGTAAATTGGTGTCATACTTATCTGGGAGGATAAAAAACGCTTACTTTATACATCGTTAGACCTCCCAACCATTACATAGGCCAGATGTGCTTTCAACCAATCATACAATATCACTGTAAATCGACTTTCATTTACCTTTAGTACAAATGAAATTGTACCTTGTCTCATTGATAAACTATAGCTAATAGCTTGTCAATGAAACGAGGTACACCCATACAGTGTTACGAGTTGAGTCGAATGCAGAGCGCATACATGAGGGATTGATTGGCGCTGGACACATCACTCTTGCTATAACATTTCTTAACACGAAAGTCTTATTTGTTTTTAGTTATTGTTTTAATGTTGTGCAATAGTTACATGGTTTTAATAATGAATGCCATTGCCTTAATTGAGTTCAACATTGATGTCCATTTTCTTCATAAATAAAAAAAGGACAAAGCTCTCGGCGTTTATCAATCCCTGAGGGATGCACCATGCATTCGACTTCACTAAGTATCGTTGGAGGTGATTGAATGCACATCTGACCTTTACAGTGACTCGCGGTGGTCTATCTATGTATCGAGCCAGTGCTGCAATCCTCCGATTCCCCCAGACAAGTCTGGTACCAATTTGCCGACCCTTGAGGGACAGAGGGCTTGGTAGGCCATGGGCGCGGTGATCGGTTCCACGGGTGTGTCGCAGTGGCGCCTCCAACCACTTTTATTTTTACTTTCTTCATGTTACGATAAAATTAAATATAATAGAAGATCATGCCTGTTAGTGAGCAGTAGACCTCATTTATTGGTTGTCCGTTGTGTTCACCACACGTTGAACTTGCACGGATTGGCTTACGGTGTGAAATGGTAAGCAGACTTGGTGTTAACACCTGAGCCGCTGCAATCACCCAAAATGTTGCCAAGATTGGCAACATTCTGAGCATTGTGACAGTTCTTCTAAAAATTCATCAATGTTTGAACCAGAAATAGTGTCACCGCACTCCTACGTGTTGAAAATATGCCGGTAGCAGAAGCGTGTAGCAAGTCTCCTGCACGAGTATAGAAATTGACTAGTTTCGCAAGAGACACGGTGAATCTAATCATAGTTATAGTAGAATTACGCCAGAAACGAGTGTAAACTGCTATAAATAAAAGTTGGGAATAAAAATATCAAAATCCTCCCAACGATTTACCGCCTTATCGTGGGTGGGAAGTGCTCCTGGGTGTCGGACTGCGATGTACAGAGGGGGATTTATCCCCTGACAGCGTTTCCCAAACAGAGAAGGAGTCCGCCCTTTCCATCACGAAGCCTAGCTAAGAGTAAGCCAATACCAGGATCCACCAGCGTCCTGGTATTATCAAAGTCACATGGTGGCAAATCCCTCTGGTCCACAAGGTATGCGACTGCTTGTGGTGGTGAAGACCTTGGGCAGACTTTGATCAGATCGACCTCGAGATTTCAGGGAACTACAGTGGCTTAACCAGAAAATCTTCAAAAAATGGAGATTATGCTGGGGCTCGCACAACCAGTGAGGACGGGACATTCAAGTATCAAGTAAGCAAAACTATAAAAATACGTCTAATTTGGGTCACCATCGTGAAATCTGGAAGAAGAAAGAATGGGAATATAGTGAGACAACATACAAACACACTCATTTTTTCGAAATATCGGAAAATAAGGCAGTTTTTATAAAGGAGCGTTCAAACGAATGACGAGTGGAATGGTTAGTTTTTCATAGTTTATGTAGAAAGTGCACTGTGACGCTATGTGGCATTTGAATCCTATTGCAAAACTATTAATGCAAAGAATACAAGTTTGATTCGAACCAGTTGATGTAGGTCGCGATTAACAAACACTCCAGCTCTCTCTTCTCGTCGTAGAAGAGCTAATAAAAAATCAGCACTTGATGACGGCTTAGATGACTAGCACTTAAGCCCAATGGCCATCTGAGCGCTACTCTCCGCCCATTGGTTGGGCACGTCATATGTTATGATGCGTAAAACGTTCTAATAAAGTTTATCGAGTCAATAATTCGCACTATAATTTCCTTTTGAACATTAAATGCTAAAATTATGCTTCCCACCACCAAATTCTTCATTTTTTCTGAATATCATCAATTTTACTTGCATCAATTTAATTTTACTTGAACGCCCGCCCTCACTAATTGTGCAGACCCCAGCATAATCACCATTTTTCTGAGATTTGCTGGTTAAGCCATTGTGGTTTCCTGGAATCACCGAGGTCAGCCTGGCCAAAGTTTGCCTCAGATCTTCACCACGACAGGCAGTCGCAGCCCTTATGGATCAGAGCGAAATTCGCTACCATTCAACTTTGGTACTAGGACGGTGGCAGATCCTAGTATTGGTTTATTCTTAGCTAGACATCCTGATGGAAACGCCGGATTTCTTCCCAGCTTAGGAGACCGTGCCACGGGCTTGAATCTCTCCGCTGTACATCGCAACCCAACACCCAGGAACACCTCCTGGCCAGACGGTGAACCGTTGGAAGGTCACCAATTTTAATAAAATTATATAAACTAAAACATTGCAACTGGGTATTCTTGTAATGATTCGGAAAGAAATCGACAGAAACCCATGCTTGGTGTATGAAAATCATGAAATTCATTGCAGTCACTTTCTTCCTGCTTCCTCTCTGGATCAAAATTTCCTTTTTCTTTTTTGGAAAGTTAAATACTAATCAATACAGATTCGTGAACTCCAGATTAATAAGCAATCAGCGCAGTTAAATTTGACTGTCGATAAGAATGGAAAACGAAAAAAATTTTTATCACAAAGTTAACTTTTCGATTACTGCCTACTACAATTTTTTTCCACCGGTATTCCTTCTTTGATAAGCTTACACGAGGTTGATAATGATATTTATTTTCGGCTAACGTTTCGACGTCTTCATCTTCCTCAAAGAATTTCAATTCTTGTCTTCTAAGCTCATCAAAGAAGGAATACATATTGATTAGTGATAGGGGTTCAAGGAAAGTCGGTTTTGAAATAGTCGTTGATTCGTCACTTCAGTTTCTCGCATATCTTTTAGCAAGAGTTTTTTTTTGAAATGGCTTACTATTATATATCAATGTGAAGCCTATTTTATACTATATAAATTGCTTTTTTAACAAACTGGAATTCAAATCCCTGGACAGAAATTTCGAAAAATTCATTTCTATGAATTCAAACTCGAACGTACACGGTGCAATGCTACGAACTGTTGTTCAACTTTCAAATCACTACCTATTACGTTTTTTACGGCAGGGTATTATATGGAATACAACCACAAAGATGCTGAGATACTTGAATAACCTGGACGCCAAGCCAGATTTGAACCCGAGAGAGGTAAAGCGAGAGCTTTTGCGGTGCAGTGGGTAACACGTGAAGTCCCGGAAAAGGTAATCGTGAGTTCGAAACGGCCTAGAGGTCTGTGTTTTGCAAGCATTTCAGCATCATTGTGGCTGTAATTCAGACACACAGCTGTTTCAGAACTTGCAGAAGAACTCCGCTTGAGCATTTCAACTGCCGTGGAGCACCTAAACGAGTGGAAGCCATGAAAACTAGACAAATGGATGCAGAGCAAATTGCACGACAATCTCTTAACAACTCAAAAGACAGACTTTCTATAAACCTCAAGATGAATAATCGATATACTTGTTTATATGTTCTTATGAACTGATCCAACTCGTAACAGCACGGCTATGAGGAAGGCGAAATCGCCGAAACAAAACCCATCGACCAACAACAACAAGAACGGCAACTATACCAACCTCGCATCAGCTCAACAAGATCAGTTCATAAGAACGTATAAAAGAACGGCAATCAATGAAATACTTGTTACCAGGTATAGCCAGCGCTTCTTCTGTGGAACCAGAACGACCCGTTCCTTGACCGTGCTGTGGTGCGAGAGGAGAAATAGACTACCTACGACAACCACTTTAACCGGTGATAATGGATTCAGTGGTTGAACCGCGAAGAAGCTCCACAGCACTTCCTAAAGCTGAAATTGCACCAAAAAACTGTCACGCTGACCCTTTGGTGGTGTGCTGCTAATCTTTAATCCATCACAGCGTTCTGAATCTGGATAAAACGGTATCGGCGGAAAACTGCGTCCAGATATTTCGAAAGCGACTTTCCTTTAACCTCGGTGTAGCTAATCTATAAGTACTCTTTCCTTGATGAGCCTACACAAGGTTGACAAAGATATTTATTTTCGGCTAAGGTTTCGACGTCTTCGTCTTCATCAGAGCCGATGATCCGAGTCGATGGTCCAGACACCGACATTATCATTATATCCACTATCAGCATCCTGCATAAAAGGGCATCACCGAGTGAGTATGCCTCATTCGAGGTATGAAGGCGAAGCCGCCACTTCGAGAAGATTAACAAGCGTGGACCATAGGCTCGGATCACCGGCTCTGATGAAGATGAAGACGCCGAAACGCTAGCCGAAAATAAATATATTTATCAACCTCATGTAAGCTCATCAAGGAAAAAATACACATTGCGTCCAGATAGTTGACAAAATGAACGAAAAACCTCCACTGCTGTGCACTGCATTGCTTCACAGAAAGGGATCGATTTTCCTACTCGACAACACTCACCATTAAATTACTGAAGCTACAGAAGTTAAACGAGCTTAGCCACGAAACTCTCCCTCACTCGCCATATTCGTCAGACTCACCACCTACCCATCACCACTTATTCAAGACCCAAAAACTTTCTTACGTGACAAATTCTTCACAAAGAAAGGGGATGTCATGATTTCAACAACTATTCCGCTTTTTAAAGTTCGGAATTTTAGGCAACTAGTAGAAATACAGGTGACAAATGATACAGTAGAAATAAACACGTTGCTTATCAGAAGAAAAAATGTCTAGTTTCCAATATCTTTTAGTTCGACAAATAAAATCATTCTGAGCTGAAATATGTAACTTTAAACGTTTCAGTTGAAAACCGTCATCAATTTCCAGTAAAGAAAGCAAGAAATTGATATTATGTTTAGATTCAGGAAAGCGAAAGGAAAAAAGTGTGCTCACTTATTCGTAGCGCGGGAGGCACAGTGGGTAGAAATGCTGAGTAGTAATACGTTAAAGGTAACTCGTCCTACCGTATACCGGAATACTCAATCCTACCATCTTTTTGGGGTCGAGAAATCGCCTGGAATAAGCTCTTTTTGATGAACGACTAATAGCGACTGGTTCTGGTGAAGACTTGGGTGTGCTCTAGTAGAGCTATTCAGGATTACAGGAAGAGTCACCTCACCCAGAATTCAGCGATATGAACACGAAGTAGTCAGGTGGCAGCGGAACACGCTAATCTAAAGACTTTAGTACAAGATGGATTAATAGCAAAGAAACCAGTGGGAAAAGCTCTGGAATGTGCAGAATGTGTGATGTTGACTGCAAAGCAAATAGGGTTTAAAAAATTGCAGTGAAATATGTGCAGTACGGTGGAAAAACACTTTAAACGGCACCCTTAGCATTCCATTATATCAAATTAAATACTAGGGAAGAAGGCCACATTTGAATTAACTCTTCAATGAGCGATCTAGAATTCTCAAATATACAGATAAATGCTAGCCATATCTACTTTAAGAAAGCCTATAAAATTTCATATTTGGAAAACTCCGGTCATGAAATACTGTATTCCATGAGGGACTTATTAACACAGATGTGAAAAAAATGGTTTGTTGAACGTAGCAAGAGAATGACTCATAAAAGAATGTACTTCGAGGATTCAACGAGATGTGTCCACACTTACGAAAAGGAGCGAGTTTCCAGGATCTCTGGATGGTTTGGACTAATATATCACAATCTACGGCTGTAAGAATGGGTGTGTAAGAAGCTGAGAGATAGCTGTAGTGATAGAATGAGAATGAGAAGAGGAAGAAAGATGACGGGATGAGGGATTGCTTACAAACGTACGAGTCGAACAGAAAAACTCTCTGACCATAGCAGCTGCGGCAATTTCGTCGGCCAGATGTCCTCCATTTAGACTGCCAAATGGTGTTCTTCCATTACTCAAAGAATGCAAGCACTTTGCGTGCAAAAAGTCACTGAGGAAACGGATGAAGTAAGAACAATCTGGAAGACCAACTCTTCAAGTAATAGGTGAAATCTAAAGTGTATAATTTGAAATGCAATATGTGTTGATACAATAGAGAAAACGGTAGCGCAGTGGCAGTGATCTACTTCATTACGCGGATGGTCCAATTTGCACCATGCCTCAGTTCAACGCCGCCACAGGCCCACCGAAACTCTCATCCATTCTGAGTTGGGTAATTGAGATCAGAGTTGTCTGAGACAAGCCTTAGAATTCCAGACAGAATTGATCGATCACCAATCAACGATGTTCATGGCGAAGAAAAAAAAAATTCTCAACCAGGAACCTACATGCAAGAAAAGTTCGAAGACCTCAATGGATGGTGGATTTGAGAAACGGAATAGAATGCAAAAAGTTCTGAGATGCGGGCAGTTTGATATATGTGATATCAACTTATTTAATAAAATATAATAGTAAAAAAATCAATATAGCACTTAATAAGCAGGGGTGGATGGTGTGTTAACGGACTCGTTAGAGGAATCCTACAAAGCGCACGTGGGTCAGTGGTTCGATCTTATATCTCAGGCTAACCAAGTGCTAGATTCCTCTGCAGTTGGCGAATTGATAACAGACTTCTCTGAGATAACAAAAATACTAACACGACACACCAGTGGGGCTTAGCATGTCATTGTATGAAGCACTTATGGACTCAGTCACCTCTCGATGATACTAATGGAGTCAAATCCATGACTCATCCCTAAAGAATTGATCGACACGCAGAGTTATATCCTTCCTTACTGTCATGTCAGAAATGATGGTACTACCAGTGGTAATATCCTGCGGTAGAATTTCTTTTTGGTTAGACTACTGTGACTTTGAAAATAAATAGATTCACATGCCCGTTTCCCTTTCATTGCTTAAAACAGCGCTGTGATATACTTCCAAGGTCCTCGTATTAAGTCGACGTTTCGCCGCTGTGGCGACTTGGAAACGTTCAGTAACTCGGCTTAGCAGTAAAAAAAAGTCTTCTCCAATTTATAAAATGGAGATTATGATAGAATGCATGGAATTTGTAAAGGCAAACCTCTACCTAAGCATATAGGAAGGCCACACCTTCTTACCTGGGAAAGAATCCGCTTCAGTTCAAAGTTCGTTACATTTCAGCAAAGTTCCCAGTTCACTAGTACAGGGAAAGGAGTTATTGATGGTAGCTCTCAGATATCCGAGAGGCCGACAAAGAGAAGAAGGGAGAACTTGTTTTCGCAAACTTTTGTCATTATAAGCTAGAAATAAAGTAGAAGAATTCAGATGTACAAGGCTGTTTGAGAACATAGAATCTAGCAAAAACTCTCAGAGCGGCAGCACAAACTGCAACCTAGATAGGATATAAGGCATCATTTACTGTCGTTTTCTGGGGTAATGATAGCTTTTGGCTACAATTACGTCGTTTTAGAGTATCCCCTGGCGATGCTACAGGTCCTCGGTCAAATACCTCCTACAAGCAGCTGGGTATCACAGTTTTTTAAAGAAACGTGAAAAAGTGAAAGCTCACTTTTTGATTTGTTCATGGACAAATGAGAATTTTGATATAGAGGGCCTTATTACAACTAAGTATTGTCGGCAACTCCTAACTGAAGTGCTCGACATTAGTGCAATCCAGTTGAAAATTAGTTACACTTTTTTAGACATTCAAACGCTAAATATTGCAGTCCCCGGGAAAACCAAAGCCCTCAGCGCTTTCGCGGTTGACAAGTTGTTGCAGAATTGTCCGGAAGGATAAATGCACTGACTCGATTGATCATCAAACCCCTGAAAGTTATTGCACAGACGAAATATGCGGTAATTCAATTTTACGGGCTGGATCGTGGAGCATACTCATGGAAACGTGAAAGCCAAGCAGTTATGTCTACAAAAACCCAGTTCCTTTAGTTCGAATTTTGCGCGATTGGTCTTTGTGAGCCGAATGTACACCAGCACTTCAATCGCCACTAATCCTTCTCAGTCGTGGTGGTATGTTTCGTTCACTCTAACATACCCATATATCGTCCATAAAGTACAAATTGTTTTCATTTGAAAATGCATTATGAGATAGAAACATGTTTGACAGTTTTGCATTTTTTTTTGTATTTTTATTTTATACGACCTGTCTTTCATATTTACTGTACAACTTCCAGTTTCGTTTCCTTACATCCATCATCCACGAAGGTCTCTCAACTTTTACGTGTGGCTTCGGCTGCTTCTAGAGAATTTTCCTTTCACTATAAATGTCATTGAATACTGGGCAAGTTTTTTCTTCCTGGAGTCCTGAGATAGCCAAGATAGAATGTTCCCACATAGGTTGCAGAAAGTGAACTTTTCCCAGACAAGTCCGATACCAATTTCCAGACCCCTGAAGGACGAGAGGCTCTATGAGCCTGTTCGGGATCAAACGAGCGTAGTTCTCGCAATGATCGACGTCATTACCACTATTTACATGTTAGACCTTCATTGATACTATGGTTTTTCCACTGGATTATTAAACCACTGTTGTATAAAATACGTGGAAGCTCTGAGAAAGGCGAAATCGCCGAAACTTCAGCCATCGATCGATAGAAACAACAACAACAACAACAACAACAACAACAACAACAACAACAACAACAACAACAACAACAACAACAACAACAACAACAACGACAAGTATAGAAACAGTTCAGCAAGATCAGTTCATAGGAACATATAAATAAATATCTCAACATCATTTGGTTATATTCCACATAATATCCTGCTATTAAAAAAATAATAGGTTTCGAAAAATGTTGTTGTTTGAAATTGCACAGTTACTGAGTAGAAAAGAAAAAAGATATCAAGCAGGGATTTGTAATGATTAGTATGGTGAACACCAAATATTCTAATTATTCATGCAAACACTACTGAACAGAGATCATTTCAACAGTTCCAGAAGCCCTAAGCTCGCCTATGGGCGGTGGGGCTTTACGGTGTGGGGCGCTGTTATGAGATCGACACTGTAAATCGAAGATGCAGTTCAAGCCACATCGCCACTTCCAGAAGCTTCTACATGAGGTCGTACCATCGCCTCATTATTAAATTTCTGGTCATCACAGAAAATTGAGAGAGCTGCAGAAATCACGAAGAGGAGTTCTAAAGCCATTATGAACTAAGATTTACTTCTTTAGCCCACTCTTGTCAATATCAATGAATATGATCAACTTAACACTATTGATGTACCAGGGAAGATGACAGACCGAAAGGTATCGTGAATCCGGCTACCATGGAAATTGTTATGGAAATAAGCAAAGGCAAGTTGCACAAGTCGAACGGCAACTACGAAATAGATATGTTGCCTGGACGGTTTTCTCTCCACAGCCGAACAGAAGGAAAAGAAAAAAAAAAACATCAGATTTCCCCTGCGATCAACGATACAGCAATTTGGCCTTCACAATAACTCGCGGTGGCTTACCGATGATGTATCGAGTCAGTTCTGCTCTCCTCCCAGACAAGTCCGGTACCAATTTGCCGATACCGAAGGGATGGAAAACTTGGTGGGGCAGGAGCGCAGGAATCAATCCCATGTGTGTTGCAGAGGGACTCCAACCACTACGCCACACGCGACCATATCGCCTGTGATGTTTCGAAATTATTCGGAAACAATGTCAATAACATGACTCATGCAAGTAATATTTGGCTGAGGGGATTCTAAGACAAGCTCGTGACGATTTTGCAGAAACTGAAAGGAGATGAGTAACTACGACATGCAAAGCATACTCCATTTGCCTCGAGAATTAAAGCATAAAATCGCTTTAGATAAGACATCGCCAAGAGGATCGAGTGAGTTTGAAGGATTCACTGAGACGTTACCGATTCAAGGACGAAACCACTATCCACCTTGTTTTCCAACTGAGGAATAGCGAGTGATCAGACATCGTTAACACTCATTTAGGACAACTTTTATGGCTAGGCGAATGACTGGTTGACAAGTTTTGAAGGAAATTCAGACTGCTGATTTCGTTAATGCTTTATTTACCCCAATTATTTAATTACGTAGTAGTCGGGCAACTGGTGAAAGCTGGGTGCAAGCTTCATTGCTTTACTTGTGTCTTCACATGGTTTTTTTCTACAGGTTGTTCGTATTGGTCAGCTACAAGCATTTCTGAGTTTATTTCCTATAAACAGATGACTATTTTTTAAAAATATTGAGCGTGATGTGCATTGCAAAACAATGAGAGGTTGAATAGCTCTTCAACACTTTCAGTTATTTTCTCGTTTAGTAAATGTTAGATCGCAGTCATCTGAAATGTAGGTGTAGTTATCTTTTCTGGTATTTTTAAATTAACGCGGGCTTGTGTACTTGCAAAAGTTGACCTTTATTTCAGTTTAAAATTTAGACCACACAATGGATGACAAAGAAAATATTTTTTATTGCGCTAGGCAATAAATTTAGCTATCGGTCGCAAGGTCTCATGTGGCGCAGTAGTCGGAGGGCCCCTGCAACACACACGTGGAATCGGTCACGCGTTCATGGCCCGCCAGGCGTTCCATCCCTCTGGGGTCGGAAAATTGGGACCAAACCTGTCTGGGAGAATAGCAGCACTGACTCGATACATCGGTACGCACTGCGAGTCATTGTAAAGGGTAGATATGCATTCATTTACCTCCAAACGATGCTTGATGAAGTTGAATGCATGGCGCATCCCTCAGGGATTGATCAACGTTGAGACTTTATCTTTTACCCTTTATCGGTTGCAGTTAAAAGCCATTGACGAATCGTTTGAAGAAATCGACCAAATCGTGACAACAATGATTAGGTGGTTAAGAAAGCTCCTTAGTTTTCGTTTTTGTTCCTTTATTGGATTGGACTCCGTACTGCTTAAATATGATTTGTAAGATTTTCCAAAACCACTTACTGCTTATTTTACCGGAACAGTTTTTTTCGATACTAGTAGCATTCTAGCGTGAACGTCTCAGTTTGGATAGCCTTTTCATTTACAGGTAAGGAGCATGCCGCTCGAAAATTCGCGGCCATTCCTTTCTTCTTCTGATCGATCGAGATTATTCGATCAAGCTGTTGATTGATTTCTTGGCTGGTTTGGATAGTAAGGAGCGGTATTCGAATCACGGCATCAGCTATGATCAGGTTAGCTCGTATTGCAGTTCCGAAAATCCTGTTTTGCAGTGGATAGTCTTTCCGATTTAGAATATGCCTCTCTTGGAGCACCATATCGAGGAAATCCATATCGATTCTATGCTATAATTAAAGTACTTTTCGGTGTCTTTTTCAACAGAATCCATGCACTTCTTCGACCAGTTTTTACCAATGTCACTTTTTTTTGTTTGTGTGTGCACCTTGTATCTTTACTTTTGTTTCCATTGAGAAGTAGTCAGTCTCATTTCCAACCGACAAATCTTTGTTTAATTTTATTCGGCCATGATAGCTTCAATCCTTAGGGTTTGTGTGAGTTGATCTCCAATCGTAAGCTCAGTGGCGTTTTCAGGTCTTCAAGCGTGAATTTTATCCACTCATTTTCCTTCTGATCCCTACTTTGTCCGCGAGGAGTACTTTAGTGCCAGGCAAGGGCACGGAACGAGCATTCTCTGTTTTGGTCAGCTTTATTTTGAAAGTGAGGAATAAATTGTCTTTCACGTCTTTGAAATGTCTTCCGACGTTTCCCAATCCGGGCTTCTTGACACATTCGCAGCGCGCTTCAATGATACACTGTCGACGTCCCTGTGTATGAAGCGTTGATTGCTAAAAATCACTTTGCAAACCCTTCAATACCTACTGCTACATAGAGAAACGTAGGATGTGAAGAGTTCCACTATTATCCATATCGGCCCAGTGGTTGGAGTCACCTTGCAGTACACTTTGGATCGGAATTTATACAATTTAAATTTATTTATATTTAAATTATTTATATACAGAATTTATAGCAAGATTTCATAGACTCGCACGTTTCACATAGAGACTTTGATTCATTATAACGATTACCACTGAAATAGTAGTTAATTTCCTATCAAATTACAGATCAACGAACTCCATAGAAAACAATTTTTCTTTTTTGAAAAAAGAAAACATGGCAGAGAGAAGTAGTAAAGGACAGGTAAAGGGCCCTTTGTTGACATGGTGCATAACATGTGAGCCCCTCGTTTTCGGTAATCGCGAGTTTGAAACCCACGTAGAGTACCGAGTTTGGCTCATATCTCAGCAGTATTATGATTATGTTCCATATGGCACCTTGCCATGGAAAAGGAATAGGCAGTAGATAAAATCTTAGAAAGTTTTAATATGTTTCTGAGTGCAAAAGGTTTTGCAATCAAACACCCGCTACGACACGTGTTGGACAAGGGCTCGATTGATTGTAAACCTTTAGAAGAAAAATGAAACCCCTATTTGGCTTATCTCGGCTCCTTCGTGCTCCACGTATGATGCTATTGAATGCAAACTCTCAATTATGTGTTCAATTACAAGTTTCACCACCTACTTTCATTTTTTTTCTTCAGAAATGAGTTGAATTCGTTGTGGAGTTGGACGAAGTATCGAGTTACGTCGGCGCAGCACTTTAGACATAAGACTGTCTTTTCCTCACAATGTGGGCTTTCGGAGACGAGTGTCTCCGATATCACCTATATTTTGTCAAATGTGTGATCGCCAAGGGTGCGTGCTTATGATGTGCACGGTAGAGTAGTAGTGGCCATCAATTCATTACTTCGAATTTACAATATCGAAAATCTTAGATGTTCATATCCATTTGTTCTTTAGACCGAACTGTTGATGATTGAATTTTCAATGGGCTGAAGTTGCATCCCCTAGATTTGGTAGGCAAGCTGAAGAACGACAGCATTGCAGATCTTCCAGCTGTTAGCGATAAGCTGCTGGAAGACATGATTGATTCAGTGAATCGCCCTCTTTATAGTTTGGCAATACATTCAGTTGTTAAGTTTCTTTACTTAATTATCCAATGAGCTATGTGCAGAAGAAGAATGTTTGTTTTTCAGTAGTTGGTTTTCTATTTCATATTTCATTTCTATTTCATTTTATGGGTAAGGAATGGTTATTGCAATCTGATGAGCCGTGGCAGGCTTTAGCTGCAAAATAGTACTGCAGGATGCACTAACCTTTCCGAGAAATTCTGAGGATTTTGTAAGGTAACATATCTGTCGTTCAGACTTGTGACCATAGTTGTTATGTTCGGTATTCGCTTTCAAATGCAGTGATAGGTAGTTTACAGACTTTGTAGCAGTCCTTTGCGGTATAGTCGTGTGTTTCTAATTATTTCGCCGTGCATGAGGACGTAAGCCACGACGGACTCGAACTTTACGTTTCTTCAGGTTGGGACGACGAGACATGACGTGAAGTAAACCTCGTAGGTAGTCCACCATCAAGTGATGTGTATATATTAGCAACAACGAGGCTCAAATTTTTGGTAGTGCTTCAGTGCGGTAGCCCAGATAAAAGCTAAGTTTTAAATGAAGATTTTGCATGTGAGTAACTAGAAGGCATATTATTCTGGGCAGAACAGAAAGGACTAGAACATGAAATAGGTGGTCTAAATGTGAAAATTGTCTTGAGATTAAGGTAATTCATGCGATAGGCGGTCTCGCAATCGATGGTTCTTTTTATATCATTCATCTTGTATTCACTAAAGTAAATGTTCAAATATTTATAATTTAGTTTATAAAGCAAACTGTTATAACGACCGTTTAAGGAGCGACGTTGTGCGGCGCAACCTTGCACACAAAACTTCAACTAATAGTCCTCGACATTGATAATGATCAAGTGGTTATGAAAGAACAATTTTCCTTATCTTCGATTTCTTCAGTGGTCAAAAAGATCTTTCAGACTTCCAGATTTGTTCGTAACCTAACACCGTCAACATTCGCCTGTTTGCACGATGCTTTCAATCGTTCAGTGTGCGACGATAACCTATTAATGATAGCCAGATATTTTAATACTAATTGATCACCACTTCTCTCTTTCAGAAAGCTGAAAGGTTGGTACAGAGATTGTGGAAGGTGTATTCGTTCTGATGCAGATAATTGAGCAAGGGACGACACCTTCAGGGCTTCCCGTTGCTCATCCGCATATTAGTGTTAAACGGAAAAATGTAAAAATAAAAAAATAAAGGATAAAGCTCCCGGCGTTGATCAATCCCCGAGATACGTAACATGCATTCGACTTTATTAAGTATCGTTCGCAGGTGATTGAATGCGTATCTTGCCTTTACAATGATCGCGGCGGCCCATCAATGTATCAAGCCAGCGCTGCTATCCCCCCAGACAAGTCTTGTGCCAGTTTGCACACCACGGAAGCATGGAGGGCTTGGTGAACCTGGGACGCCGATGTCGACCCTATGTGTGTGTGTTACAGGGAACCCCCGACCACTACGCCACACACACCCTGCTACGCAGGGAGAAAGGCGGTGTCATATATTCAGTTGCTTCTACAAAGCTATTCTATGCTTGTTTTGTAACGCCTAACAATAAGCTCGGATGCTGCGCTATATTATAATTTTAGTACTTACTTGCTTGGTTACCTTGACGGTCCCTCTTTGCGACTTGTGAGTAGCCAAGCATATCTGCCATTCGTATCTTTTCCTCGCAATAGTCGCCCATAGTGGTGGTCTTGTTCGGGCATGGTAGCGCTTGCGAGTCTCAAACCGTTGTCTGTGAAATGACTGCTGCTGCGAGTGCAGCTCATTAACTTTGGTTACGAACACGTCCGCCCAATGTGTAGATGACCGTCCTAGAGGACGCCTGAATTCTCGTGGATTCCACTTTGCAGTTCATTTCTCCCATGCTCTTTCCATGCTTTTCTTCCTTTCTTTCTTCTTTCTTCTTGTCGTCTGCTCTTCTCATTACGTGACAGGACCATCTGGTTTTTGTCATCGATATATATTTCCTGGATCCCGAAGATGTGACAGATTTCGAAGACCAGAACTTGCCATTCCGGCTAAATATTGAATGTGCCGGTTATATTTTAGAACATCTCGTTCAAGCGCTCCGTGAGTAGCATACAGCATTTTTTAACATAGTTGAAGTATCAGCCTATACTGCATCGAAAACGTGAGAGCGGTTTTTCGGGTCCCTCTGTTGGTCGGTGACCTATTTGAGAAACCCAAATACGACCGAAGCAGCTTTACTTCTGTCTAATTCCTCTATCTTGTTCTCCATGTTCATTAATCTCCCGAAGTATACGCAGAGGTGTTCTCTGCAACCAGAGAACCATCCAATTCAATTTCTTCACCTTCGCACCGTGGGTTCTTCATGAACTGGGTTTTCTTCCGAATTATGTATAGTCTGATCTTTTTACCTGCTTCGTTGAGCTCACTGTTTTTCGTTGAGATCATTGTTTCAATGTCGTTTGCGCTTCTTTGGAAGATGATGATGTCTTCGGCAAAACGGAGGTTCGATAAGGATTTCCTATGTATGCCAATCATCGTTATCCACTGCAGTGCGGCACTAAACGCCTTTGGTGAGATTGTTCCGCATTGTTGAACTCCTTCTCCTATGGGTATGCTAAGAGGTCGATGAAAAAGCCGTATTTTGGTATTGCAGTTTTGATAACAGTCGGACAGCTTGTAGAGCACACCAAACAAGCGTATTGGGCCGCTACGAACATTTCCCTCCTCTTCTTGGGAAGGATAACCATTATTGACGTGCTCCACTGTTCTGAGATTTTCTCTTCCTGAAGGGAAGATGTCACGTGGTTTGCAACAACCAGGCGTTGTTTGTAGTTCCCAGCTCTAAGGAAATCAGCAATGGTATTGTTGGATAGTGGTGGTGTGCCGTTCTTTATGCTTTCTACCGCAAATCGAACTCCAGAGGGTAAAATTCCTAGCGGTTTTTCACCAGCGGGGATTTCGAGGTCGGAGAGGGGTTTGTGTAGCGGGAAAGGTTAGTATAGGGTTTTCTTTTATCACTTTCATATCATGGCGAGATGTAGCGAGAAGACCCCCATTGTCACTTTGTTCTCCTATTCCGGATTTCCCCTTCTTCACTTTCGGTGGCCGTTCCTAGTCTGGAAATGAGGTCCCGAGGAACGAATTTATAGACTTCCCGTAGCCGATTACATGAACCAACTAGTTGCAAAACGCGTCCAGTTCTCTCGCATCAGCTATACAAATTGGTGAGTTGATGATATCGCCTTCCTTCTGACGCGCTAGCTAAAGACGAAGAATGGCTAAACGAGGAGATGTGATTTTATATGAGGTTATTAGATGGAAATAGATGGGTGTACGGGAAAGCCAACGCCTCCGATGTTTCGGTCTCCTCCACAAATGACATGGGTTCCATCATCTAATTGGCGCATGTCCTTCTTCTTGGTTTTCGTCTCTTATAAGGTCATTACACGAAATTTGGTAAAATCGGCCGACTAAAGAAAGGCATAAAAGTCGGCGTTTGAAGAGACTGTTCAGGTGTTATAGATGCACAGTAAGAAGCACTTTCCACAGCGTGTCGTGAAGCTCTCTCTCTTCGGTGTTTATCAATCCCTGAGAGATGCGCCATGCATTCGACTTCATTAAGCATTGTTTGGATGTGATTGAATGCATCTGTCCATTACATTGACTTGCAGTAGTCTACCGATGTACCGAGTCAGCGCTGCTATTCCCCTAGACACGTCTGTATCAATTTGCCCACCTCAAGTGATGGAGGGCGAGATCGAACCAACGACCGACCAAGAACGTATTGCAGCTTAGCTCTAGCCACTGCGCTTCATGAGAAATCAGTTGTACACAGAAACTACGTGGGCGAACCGAATGATAGTACAACTTCGAGGAACCAGTGCCTTTTGCTCTAGCTCACGATCCTTACACTCTGACCTCAATGCGCACTTATATTGCGCTCCAATAACACGCGGTCCGATGGCCACTACACATCAAAATGGCCGCAGCCATGAAATTGTTAGTCGTACAACTTCCTAGCAAAACCTAGTAACACTTAAAGTAGAGCGATGTTTAGGGCCGTAGTATGACTAGTGATGTAGCCATTCATGCGGCCAATTATTCGTAAAAAGCAATTGCATTAAACTTACTCCGCAACCTGGTGTTCAACTAAACTAAATAAATAGATAACAAACCATTACGATAACATATACATGAGGGATGTTTACCTCAACAAGTACAAACAATTCTCGAGGAACAATATTAACAAAATCAATATGAGATCCACGAGTAACAACATATAGCAAGAACAGTACGAACACAAAGCGTATACCAACTTAGTTCCTATCTGCCATTAAATTCAATGGCACATTTTTAATGTGATGAACTTACACAACATAATTTATCAATAAATAATACTCAGGTTGCTGTTTTCACCTGTCAATAAAATCGTACTCGGGTTGGTGCCTGCACCTGTCGACGTTATCGCGTTACCCGTTTGGTGCACCCATTGAATTGCCAACCACGATTTTGGGTTGTCACCACAGGCATAAAAAATTATAAATACAGATTCACCGACGTATAAAACGTAAGTGAAACAAACAAAAGCATGATTTTCAAAGATAAATTGTAAGTCCTTATTTACAAGGAGGTTTTCATGAAACCTTCTGGAGAAAATATCCGTGTCCATCATAGAATCTCATTTCTTAAACAACACATAGAATAACGCTGTGTTGCCCACTAAGCTTATCACTGCGATTGTCCCTAACAAAGTTGTCACCCAGCGATTAGATGATTCTACTTGTTGAGAAACAGAGGTGAAAACTGAACGGCCAGGTGAATCATCACGACATGAGGAACGAGACGACAGTTGTCGTTGGGTAACACTTTTCTCCTAAACGAAATGATAAAAAGGAGCCTATAAGTTTCTTTTTGCAAATGTTATGTCATCCATCACGACCATCGACTGATATCAAACATTTAGACATCACTCTTTCTATCTAATGCAAGAGCTCTAAACGTACAGAAAATCGAGACGGTGCGATTGAAGGCGCGTAGGAATGATAGACGGAATGTGGTGAATAGAAAGGACCACGACGTTGAGTTTCCACTCCAAAACCACTTCTCGTTTTGTAGCTGTCGCCTAATAATGATAGTGATGCAAGAGATGGTGCAAGCTGTCTACTTGGAGTTGACTCGCGAGCCAATCTCTTCATTACTTCAGAGGGACGCAAGCCTCCAACTACGGTTGCATCTGAGGAAACTCTATTCAGCGATGGTTCCCAGTCCATCTCCTGAAAGACAACTTAGCCATCACTAAACAACTTGAACTGAAGTTCGAACGATAATAAAGGAGCAAAGAAAATACTCTCACCAACAAACTCACCTCATAATCGCTCACTAAACGTGTGTGAGGTGAGCTCGAGGGTTCGGGTGTTTCATCACGCTGTCGCCACTTTAAGCGTTGGCGAACTGTGTAATTTGGTGCAACAGAGGATAACGGACTCCCACTTTTGACTTTATGACTCTTCTGGAAGATGACGGACGTATTGCAGCTTGTTGCTTGCGACGAACATTGCGATATAGGAGTAGAGGCGAGCGAAAATGCACTAAACACCAACCTGGAGTTCTAATTACACCTTTTTTGGGATAACTACAGGTTACCTAGCGTGCAGTTTAGATCCAAAACGATCACTATTTCCTTTATTCTAATGAAGGAAAAAAGTAGAGGCATACTAAAACAGAGCGTTATTAAGAGTATTGGTTCACTACCAGAATATTTGTCTGCTGAGTTTAATGTCTAGAAGAAATTAGTGCCTAGGCTGAGTAGCACCCTAGAGAGCAATTTCACCACATGAAAAACGTCGACCGTAAATTAGCGAAATGTTATTTACGTCATGAAAAATCTATTATCGACAATTAGCATACAAATATAGTAAATATGGTATACAAAATAACTTCAAATCCATCTACCCTGACGCCCCAGGAACCTTGACAAAATAGAAATAAACCACTCTTCAACTACCATATGCGCGTCAGAACATTAAAATCATTAGCTGTTATTTCACGAAAGTTTTATATCCGAAGTTTGGAATCCATAGGGTTCCATAAAGCTCTCGGAGATTTCATCCCTATCTAAGGAGTTCAATGCGAAATTAGAAAAACAACCTATAATAAAGATTAAATTTAAACAAGCACGATATAGAACAGAATCTATCTTATATTAGATTTCTAGCACTTTGTACAGCAACTATAGAGAATATTCTGCATAAATATCAAATATTCTCTATCTACTTAAGCACTTGCCTTGCACTGCTTACTCACTTTCTATGAACAAACTTCTCTTAAAGCTTTTCCATAAAAACCTGATAAACTTTGTCTGAGAGCTTCTAACACGGCGTTTAATTGATGTAAGCATTAGCGGCTACCGTACCATGCTTTGAATCAGCTTTGTCAAATTGTACTGCCTCAGAAAAGTTCTGTCATCTCCTCAACAGAAACTACCTCCTACTTACGCTAGCTAAACTCGACCCATTACAGAACAAATATAAGCAGCTTCTTCAGTTAACTGGGAACGAGCCCTCTCTAAGGGTCCTCACCAAAATTACCTTCCATAGCTCTCTCTATAAGTTCTGCCTATCAAGACTCCCACAGTCTCCATGGTATTGGCTCTTGTATCCTTCATGATCTCTGTATATTGTCACACTGCTGCTATTAATATATATATATATATATATATATATAAATATGCGTATAAAAACTATTATAATCTAAAACTTGATACCATGTTCTGTGACAACACGCGAAAAGTCCTGTGTGGCATATTCGCACAAGGCAAGCAGTCATTCAAGCTAACAACTCTAACAACCAACTGTTGAAACCATATTTCTATCACTGTAAACGCCATCATATTTATTGGTGCATTGGCCTAACCACTACATCTCCGTGCCGCGGCAGCTGGTAATGATCGTACGATGTTTCAATTCGATAAGAAAACCTTTTTAACGGTCTCCTTTACTGGTCGACACTGGCACAAATGCCCAACCGTACAATCTACGTCATGAATAAGGTAATTGTTAACAATTTTCAAAAAATACATGGAACATCATTGTGATGCTCGATAATGTCAAATCTCACAGGTAAGTTGGCAATCTTAAAGTAGGTATGTTCAATAGGGAGGTATGTAGTGCAGTGCCTAGCGATGCAGTTCATCAGGAAACAAAGTGCTGGTTCGAACCCCTTTCTAATTTTGTCCTCCAGTCCAAATGGGAACCACTTGGAAACGCCTTAGCACGGTTGTCCTCAAGATTGCAAAGACGATGAATGCAAGGAAACGAATCGAATGCAAGAATTGCTGGGATCCGCACAGTAAATGTGATAACGGGCTATGTAAAAACAAACAAAAAGTACGCTCAATACTTCTACAGTTCTTCAGTGTTTCACCCTTACGCGACGACGTGACCTCTAAAGAAGTCATAAGATACGAATATAATGGCCGTATTCAACGTCATATCCATATACCTAAGCTTGCATTTAGTTTCATTGGAAAAAAAGGATGAAACGCTCACTCAACGTTGACCAATTACTGAGCGATACGCTTTGCATTCGATTTCATCAATATTCCTAGAGGTGATTACAAGCACATTTGGTCTGTACAATGACTCGCGGTAGCTAGCTGTACTAATTATACTTGATACTTGACACTAGAACGGCCCGTCCTCACTGCTTGTGCGGGACCCAGCATAGTCTCCTCTTAGATTTACTGGTTAAGCCATTGTGATTCCCTGGAATTCCGAGGCCGGCCTGGCCAAAGTCTGCTCCAGGTCTTCACCATCACGGGCAGTCGCAGACCTTGTGGATTAGAGGGAAATTTGCCACTATGCGACTTTGATACCAGGACTGTGGTGGATCCTGGTCCTACCAATGGTTTACCAGCTCATCGTGGCTAAGTGTTCCTGAGTGCCGGGTCACCCACCTGGCAGGGTCTCCCAAGCTGAGAAGTCTGGTATTTCCATCATGAAGCCTAGCTAAGAGTAAACCAACACCAAGATCTTACTAATTGCAACAAAAATAAAATTTGCAGGTCTTTCTGCCGACAAGGTAAAAGTTCACTTGTCTCACCATGACAAAATTGTCATTCATTGTACAAGAGAAGACGTATCCCTACCGTTTTTTTTTCTTCATTAAGCTTCGCATTTCGACAAGAAAGGAAGTTGGAAAAGCCCGATTTCGTCTAACAGAACACCACGGTGATTCAGAACGGCCTTTGCGACTATCACGCTTATGTGTAAAGTTTTAAAAATCCAAGTTCTATTCTCAACTTTCCAAGAATGCCAATTCTAAAATAGTTTGAAATTGAAAGAATATTTTATAAAAGTCATATGTAGTCTTAAGGTGACCACGATCAAAGCCTCATCCATGAAACTGCAAATATAAGTGAAGATACTATCGTCGTTTTATAAGGACCAGATTCGTTGTGTTAGAGTTAATTAACAGCAAATTACAATAGAGGGCACAAACCTCGATAATATACTCTTAGGCCGTTTACGGTGGATTCTTTTACGTGGAACAAATGTTATTGTTGTTGTCAATAGTGTTTCGAAGGATGAAAACGCACATCGGAACAATGCTAAATCCTCACGATACATCTAAATGAGAATAGTCAGTGATTTCGCTCATGTTTGTTCGACTTGAGAACTTAGCATGAAATGATGACTGTTCAAATATGAAGCACACACATTTTCGGGAACGGCAAACGACGCTAAATGCAAAACTGCCAGGATAGGAAGGAGAAGATCAGGCAACGTTGCTTGGCACCTGACAAAAAACGTTATACTGCACTTTGGGTCTGATGAAATTATTTCAAAAAGACGGTGAAAAAATATTGCTCGTAGATTTCAGTAATGCCATAAGTAAACAAGAGCCGAGTGAATAACGATTCTTACAAATTAACGCTGCAAATAGTCTACATATGTACGAATGCAGAAGCATTACGCTCGTTTAAATAGCTACAGGTTGACCACAACACTTGGCCATTAAACGGTTGCTGTTGTATTTGCGAGTCATAAATTAACGAAAAAGAAGTGTCTACGATTTTTCTCTCAAAATCGCAATAATGTGCCGTTCATATGGTGCAATAATCAGCTCTCGTGAACCTTTACAGTCGCATTTTAAAATTAAAACATCCCAATATTTTGGGATAGAAAATAGTCACTTGTTGCTCAGCGTGAGCAGAAAATGATCAACCCTACCTACATTATTCTTGCTAAATATATGGAAACATATCAAAACGTACTTGTTCGTCCATATCGATATAAGTTGTGCACAGAGTAGTACTAGAACGAGGTGATGCGCAATAGAGATTATGGTTGGGGTAACAATCAGCAACAACGTCGGCAACTGAAGAAGGTCCAGGTCAGCATCCTGAAAAATCTCGTCACCCCACACATATGTCAAGGCAGCATATTTTCCGTAAAAATGTACAAATGTGTTACAACTTAGATAAAACCGCACACATTATATATATATATATATATGTATATATATATATATATACATGTATAGATATATGTGTATATTTGCCATGCGTGTGCTGAATAACAACTCCGCAATTTCTGAAAAAGAAAACGAGACCTATAAAGGATAAAAGAATAAAGCTCTCGAATCTGATCAATTCCTCAGCGATGCTACATATATATAAACCACAAAGGAACCTTCACGGATGAAGATATGTGTTTAAATATAAGCATTGACAACCTTCGTTGTTTGCGTACCCACAGACAGTGGCTCTTATTTCGAAATTTTTCCAATGCTCGTTTGTGGCCTATGCGTCCCTAATGGAGTGCTTCGTCCGACTTCAGGTTTCCGATCTAGGTGCTCTTTTATACGGATACAGAGCGGTCTACCCATTTCACCAACGTATCGCTCCCTAAACACCTTACAAGAGACCAGGCACACCATACCGGAGCTCAGGCAATCACCATTTTTACGGGAAAGAGTAATTATACGATTTTTCGCTTTACATAGACGTTCTTATAAAAAGTTTTAATTTTGACATGATACAGCGTCAAATTTCCATTGACCGCGTAGATGGTGACACTTTAAAATGCAATAGTAAGTTTTGCAACGTGAACAACACAGTCGACTTGCTCTGACGGTAGAAATGGCGATTGCATGACTTCTGATACGATGTACCTGATCTGTTGTAATTAGAGAGGACCAGCACGTCGGTGAAAAGCGTAGACGACTCTGCGTCATTATAAAGAACAATTGAGGGGAACATGAGGTCAAACGAAGTACTCCACTGAGCACGCATAGAACACAAAGGCATAACGGAGAAAATTTTGAAATAAAAGTCGTAATCCTCACAAGAATATAAAACATCAGCGCGTAAAACTCTTTAGGCGTTCTGGACTAATTCTAAATCAAAAAAAGAACCACATAGAGGAGCTTGGCATACCAACTAAGCTATGGATAATAACGGCGCACTTAATCCAGTGCTAAGAGACCTTTCGTGACTTACATAACAATTTCACAACCAAAATATCACTGTCCTACAACTTCCTACGATTTTCTTTCCTTACAATTTGAATTAAGATCGACATAAAGAGGAACGATCGACAATATGGTAGCGTTTTGCCAAAATTATTCCCATCCATGTTCGAAAATTATTCGAAAACTTGAATGGGTTGTATGATAATGGTAATATGAGAGTGAAAATAGATGGACGGCAACTAACATCTCTCTGTTACATCATCATGAGCAAATGTCCAATGGCGAAATGCATGTGGAAAGATTGGTCTTCGACTAAATCTCACGAAAACCATGTTCACGAAGAACTTGTTTCCCATGCGCCATTCACGCTCAACGAGAAAAATGTCTCAAAATGCTCCAACTTTGTTTATGTGGGTCGGGAAGACAGCATGATGAATGACTTAGCTCCAGAGTTCAGCACAAATAAAACAGCAGGGTTTCACACCCACCATTCCACTGCCATACTTCCTCGCTTAACGAAACTTAGGTGTTACATAAGCATGACCAAAAAACACTAAGAACTATCGAAAACGCAGTAGAAAGCACGATTCTGGAGGCATTCCTTATCACGCAAATGACAGGAATGCTACGAAGTTATGATCTACGTAGACCAAAGGTTTAAAGACGCCGAAATGTCAAAAAAAAAGTAGCACAGCAGACACATGATGCATCATAACAACAACCGATAGCAAGGAACCGTGTTAAGCAAGTGGATCCCAAGGGATGACAAGGTCACAGCAGGAAATCCGCCGATCCAGCCAATGCTCACAATCCGTCACAAAGGTCCTTGATGAAAAGTATGATGGTCGGTGAGTCCCTGGACCAAACAAGACTTACTGGCATATTGTTGTTTGCGGACAAATAAAGACATCAGTAGGAACCGTTCAAAGAATTCGGCGAATTACAACGAAATAGATAGCACAAGTGATACCTTTTTTACACGACCCGAAATCGTATATTGTGTCAATCCTAATATCTCTTTTAGTTGATTCGTTTCCTTACATTCACGAACCACAAAGTCCCTTTATTGACGTGGATTCAACAGCTGCTTGAGAATCTTTGATCTTCTTTGTGAATATCGCTGAATGCTATCTGGAATCTTGGGATAGCTGTGCCAGGACCTTCCAAAGTTTTCACCACAGACAGTCACCATCCCTTACGGCCCTCGAAGCCACAGGGACAGGACGTTTTGCTGACTCAGTGCGGGTTAAAAAATAGAAATTAACTCACATTTGCCAACATGTCCTTCCCCTGTGTAAGATGATGTCAACCTACGTCGCCGCGAATACGTTGGGTAAAAGAGATGTGAGCCTATTTTTAGCTGTTGTACAATTACTGGAAGAACCAATTTCTATTTATCCTCGTCATGAATAATAAACAGTATCTAGCAAACCGTCTTTGCTCAAGTTAATGGGAGATAACATGATGACGGTGATAACTTAACAGCAATGCTAAACGCCAGCCATCGCATTTCAAGAAGAAGAGGTAGTAACAACCTGACTTTAGCTTAAGAAAGGACAGTTCGTAATGCTGTAAAACGTTTGAACTAAGCCATTCACTCACTTGTCACTCAGCTTATGAACCTATTGTAAGGAAACACAAACACCTGTATGGTGTCACTGGTTGTCATATAAGTGCAGTAAATTAGTACACACATACCTCTTGTAGAAAATTGAATTGTGAAAGGAACAGCAACGTGGACAATACGAATGAGGTAAAATGCATGGTTTCCGCAATATAACCACCGGCGAAGAACCGACGCCGTCTGGTCGCTATCTATATAATACTAATGTAAGAAGAGAATATGAAATTGCGTTATATATGAAGTGATCCAAAAGCACAAATACACAAACAAATTCGAAACTTGTATGAACATGATAGAAAAATAGGACAACAATATGTACTGAGGTTTAAAATTGAAAAGGAAATACTAAAAAAACAAATCAATTCAGCAAATTCTGTGCTACACAGTACCGACCTTTACAGCTACATTCGCAGCCGAAGTGAAGTCATTGCGAACAGAGTTCGCGAAAGTGTTTTTGAGTCTAAGAAGGTTCGCATGTCTCTTCTATAAAAAATATGTAATAGAGTCAAACCAACCATTTCAAAACGAAATGAAATTTCTCTTATGTAACGAGCAAATCACCTCAAAAGGTAATAAGATTTAATCTCCTTATAACAAATTAATCTTGGCTCTCCATTTTTCATAGATTCATAGTATGATTTTCAATAAGTAGCAAACAGATCACCCGGAAACATTTTATCTTTTGCACTTAGGTCACGTATCAATTACAATACAAGAATTTCTCTGGCGATGACTGTTCAACGATTGTTCAAGAGCATACAGTAATCACTTAAAATGACCCTAAAATCTCCAGAAGAAAACATATCGAATGTTACGCTCTTCTAAAGGTGCAGATTAACTGGAATAATATTTGGATACATGGATGGCCCATCTTCACTGGTTGTGCGGGCCCCAATTCCCATCATTCTGATGTTTTACTGGCCTAGCCGTTGTGCTTCCCTGAAGTCCCGAGGTCAGCCTAGCGAAAGCCTGCCCAGGTCGTCACCACGACAGGCAGTGGCAGCCCTTGTGGATCATAGCGAGATTTGCCACCATGCGACTTTGATACCAGGACGGTGGTGGATCCTGGTATTGGTTTACTCTTAGTTTCCTGATGGAAACGCCGGACTCCTTCTCAGCTTAGCATACACTAATGAGAGGTACTTCTTTTAACCGCTCCCAAGATCGACTTTCTATTAACCTCGGAATTGGACTATAAATCTGCTGTTCTCTTTTTTACAGCATTCGCGAGGTTGTTATTCAGCACACCTTTACTTCCTTACAAATATAACACATACAACACAACGGTAGGTGACGTTTCGGCACTATCGTCTTCTTCAGAGCCTGGAAGGGTACACTAATATGTAGTTTACTAGGTCAAACGCTTCAGCAACGCAAACAGAAAGATAAGAATCTAAACAGTAGTTACACGATCACCGGCTTCTCGAAAACCCCACCGTTTTTATTTGTTTTCCACCAAGGAAGAACAGCCGCTTAGAGTCGCATATGGTTGATTGCTGCACCACTCCACATCAAAAATCAGTTCAGAGATGCGGGGCTAGATCACACGTTATCTCAGGGCATTCTTCCCAGCTATTCATTCTCGGATATCTGGTTTTTATCCAAAAAACCTCGAGAAGTTTGCGCGTGTTTTGTTTTAGTCTCTCGTGCGATGATAGCGACTTTTACATCAAAATCTTCTCCGCTATGTTCTTGTATCCTATGCGTGCCTACTGGCGTGCCTTGTTTTGATTTTCGCTTACCATCTAGGTGTTCTTTTATACGGATACAGAAAGGTCTGCCCGTTTCGTCAATATATTCATTTCCGCAATTATTACAAGAGATCAGGTATATCGTACCTGAACTCATGCAATCACTGTCCCCGCCGTAAGGACAAATTACGCGATTTGTTGTTTCACATAGACAGTCATACAGGTGGTTACGAACTAATTGGCGACGTAGAGTAGCCGGTGGTATTTCAACCATTGCTACCAATTCCTCTAGATCTGCCCTTTTTAAGCATCGCTTTATCGCTACACATATTTCATCGCCAATGATGGGCAAGATAAACGTGATTTTGTCTCGGCTAAACCCTTCGTTTTGGGGCGTCGCTCTCTTTCTAAACTTATCTCGTGGGGTTACTACTTCGTAGCCATTGGAGATGGCTATTTCGCGAGCCAAGTTGCGCGATTCTTCCTTTAGCTCCCTACTTATCCACACGGTGGTGGCTATTCGAAACATGTCCTCACGAGAGCCCTCTTTGTGTGTGAAGGCTGAGAAGAAAGGAAATGAACGACGATGTTCTTGTTACTTGGTTTTCGGTACCATTTTGTCATGTAACCGCTACTTGATAAGTTTATTTGAACGTTTAAAAACGGAAGCCAATTTTCTTTTGGTTTCTCCCGGGTGAAATTGATGTACTCAGACTGTCCATTCAAAAATTCAAAGCATTTATCCATCTCTTCTTGAGTACAGAAGATGACAAAAGAGTCATCTATATATCCACAGTAGAGTACCGGCCGGCCGAAGGTCGGGTGCTTCTATAACGGGTGCTTCTATTTCCGACATGAACGCAATGGCGGAAATTGGTGCCAACCGCTGTCCCATTGCCAGCTCTCTAATTTGTGTTTAATAATTCTCAGACCACATGAAAATCAAGCAGTATAGGCACTTGTTTAAGAGAGCCATGAGCTGCTGGATGGACAAGCCATGTCTATTTATTCTTCCTTCATGTTTAACAAGAAGTACGAAGATGGCTCGTATTGCAGTGCCTCCGAATGACTCGTCAGATGGTCCAAGAAATAGTACGCACCAATGAGGGGGCTGGCAATGGGACAGCGACTGGCGTAAGTTTCGCCATTGCATTTATGTCTAAAATAGAAACACCAGTTATAGAAGGTACTCTACTGTAGATATATAGGTGACTGTTTTGTCACCTTCTGTACTCAGGAGCAAATTTACAAATGCTTTGAATTGTTTAATGAGCAGTTAATGAGTATAACAAATTTACCCAGGAGACACCAAAAGAATATTGGCTTCCATTTCTTATCATTCAAATCAACTTACCGGACAACGGCTACGTGGCAAAATTGTACCGAAAACCAAGCAACAAGAACATCGTCGTTCATTTCCTTTCTTCGAGCCTTCACACACAAAGAGGGCTCTCGTGAGGAGATGTTTCGAATAGCCACCACTGTGTGGACAAGTAGGGAGCTAAAGGAAGAATCGCGCAACTTGGCTCGCGAAATAGCCATCTCCAATGGCTACGAAGTAGTAAACCCACGAGGTAAGTTTAGAAAGAGAGCGACGCCCCAAAACGAAGGGTTTAGCCGAAACAAAATCACGTTTATCTTGCCCATCATTGGCGATGAAATATGTGCAGCGATAAAGCGATGCTTAAAAAGGGCAGATCTAGAGGAATTGGTAGCGATAGTTGAAATACCACCGGCTACTCTACGTCGCCAATTAGTAACCGCCTGTATGACGGTCTATGTGAAACAACAAATCGCGTAATTTGTCCTTACGGCGGGGATGGTGATTGCATGAGTTCAGGTACGATATACCTGATCTCTTGTAATAATTGCGGAAATGAATATATTGACGAAACGGGCAGACCTTTCTGTATCCGTATAAAAGAACACCTAGATGGTAAACGAAAATCAAAACAAGGCACGCATAGGATACAAAAACATAGTAGAGATTTTGATGTAAAAGTCGCTGTCATCGCACGAGACTAAAACAAAACACGCGCAAATTTCTCGAGGCTTTTTGGATTAATGCCAAAAATCCGAGAATGAATAGCAGGGAAGAATGCCCTGAGATAACGCGTGATCTAGCCCCGTATCTCAGAACTGATTTTTGATGTGGGGTGGTGCAGCAATCAACCATATGCGACTCTAAGCGTCTGTTCTTCCTTGGTGGAAAACAGATAAAAACGGTGGGTCTTTCGTGAAGCCGGTGATCGTGCAATTACTGTTCAGATTTTCATCTTTCTGTTTGCGTTGTTGAAGCGTTTAACCTAGTAAATTACATATTAGTGTAGCCTTCCAGGCTCTGAAAAAGACGATAGTGCCGAAACGACACCTACCGTTGTGTTGTATGTGTTATACTTGTAAGGAAGTAAAGGTGTGCTGAATAACAACTTCGCAATTGCTGTAAAAAAGAGAACAACTGATGAAAGGATCCATCTCTCCACTGTACAACGCAGCCCGACACCTTGGAACATTTCCCAGACACGATGAGACGGTAAACCGTTCAGAAGCATGTGATTAAAAATTAAAAGGCAAACTGGCAAAAATAGTATTAAAAAAGTAACCTTTTCTTCTTGCATTTTGTCTTGAGCAAAGAATGTACATCTTACGCATAGCGGATATGCCTTATTTAATTTGTAGCGATAAATCTCAACTTCTTCGTTCCATTGATTCTGAAGAAACAAAGACCCATTGCCAAAAAGTAAGCTCAGCAATATATTTTACCATGCAACAATAAAATTATACAGAAACCAAGTATGAATCATACATACATCATCCGACGGCTCAAACTCAGCTATACGTCTCAAAATTATTTCTTGTTGGCGGTTACAGTTGTCACAGAGGCCATTGTTACCATTACCCTCTTGAGATACATCTGGACGAGTTGCGCTCACATTTGATGCACAGAACCTTAAACGATATTATGAGCAACATCACCGCATTAAATTTCTAAAAAACACAGGTGTTAGGAAGACAAACCTAAACGCCTACACTAGAAATTCCCCATGAAAACAAATCAGCCATTAAGAAGAAGCAGAACTCATGTCAAATGAAAAAGTCAAGAGACCTTCTTGTCGGTTTCAGCGCAACCGCACAGTGTTGTCCAGGTATTTTACGATTGTAATCTCCAGACTCATCAAACCCGTTGTACTGCTCGCAACTAGCGCAGGTAAACGAGTTTCGTTGTTCAAATGGTACACGCTGATCGTGTTGACAAAACCAGCAGTTCACTTTTGTGTATAAATGCTTCCTAGAAGTTCAAAAACATACTAGTGGGAATCACAACGTGTGGGATAACGTTGACATATAACATATAAAACCATTCCTATAGCTCCCACACAACGAAAAATGGTTTAAAAGATGGCTACGGACCAATATCGGCTTAGAATACATACCTTAATGATCTGTAAACAAGCGGTGCAACCATACATGCTGCAGCTGCCACAATCATCTCCATCTGGAAACGATTTCAGAAGGATCTCTGTATCACAACTAATCTCATCAAGCATTATTGAAGTTACCAAACTATGATCACTGCCACGACCGACTACGAAGAAAATTATATGATCACTGCTTCATTTCACTTTGATTATTGTCATGAAAAATTAATAAAGAATAGATTTCTCGGCGCTGATGAATCCCTGAGGGATATACTGTGCATTCGACTTCATTAAGCATCGTTGCAGGTGATTGAATGTATATTTGGCCTTCAAAATGACTCGCGATGGCCTACCAATGTATCGAGCCAGAGCGGCTATCCTCCCAGACAAATCTGGCACCAACCTACCAACTCCGGAGCGATGGAAGGCTTGGTGGACCAGAAGTGCGGAGGTCAATCCCATGTTTATGTTGCAGGGCGCCACCGACCACTGCGCCACACGCGATTATTGTCATACAGAAAAAAGTACGTACATAAGGCATTGACCTAATGTGTTAAAGTAGTCTAATGAAATGTTTTCATAGCAGACAAGAAGGTACAACTGAGAAATACCGCAAGAGATTGAAATAAAAACGAAGAATAAAACTTTTATTTGAAAGACAACAGAGACGGCACTTCTCAGGCCGTCAAATCCACATGATAACGATAAAGAATAAATAACAAGTAAGTGTAAATAAAAACACTAAAAAGGCAAGCTAGGTCATGTAATACAAGACAGTATAAGCAAATCAAGAACAATTGAGCATAGAAATACAACAAAAGCAATGAAAGAAAGAAGAGAGATAAAGAGCAATATGAACTCACACATATAGTATGGGCACAGGCGAAGTAGTGGGTAGACAATTGAGATCACCTTCTAACTAATCCAGAGTTTCGAACTACTCTTAAATCTTCAACAATGACTCATAGTTCCCAAACGGAACCTCAGTTTCGAAAGGATTATTCAACACCACCAGATTTGAGAGGATAACATAAAGGAGAAACAACCAGTATGTCTACAATCACACCAACTGAACCAGACCCACGTCCCAGCTTCGAAAATTACAACTGGGAAAATTGAATGCTGACTTTAACAGAACTCTCTAGTGCGAAAATAAAAGCCACTCGAATTAATCATGTCATAAAGATAATGATGAAGCAAAAAGTAATCAGATCAGATAATGTAAAAACAAATTTCTCATATATTTCAAAACGTAGATGGCACCCAAGGACTACATTCGAGAAGAAAAACCGAATACCGCAGAAAGGAAAACAAACGGCACAAAGGTTTTTCTTAAAGGATGATTTTCGACGAACAAAGAATAGCAAGTTCTACTTGTATTGACCAAGTCAGATTAAGGTTACGCTTTTTCGAAAGTTGAACCTTAACGGCACGAGTCATCCCTTTCACTCCGTTTCGTGGTTTGCCAGGCGAATTTTGAACAACGAACAGAGTTCAAAAATTTTGGCTAGACGGTTCCTACGGATTGATTGCTTCACGCATCGGATATACTGCTAAGGTTCTTTTATAATTTTCCTTGGCATAAAACATTCAAACATTTATAAGACTTCTCAAATGAAGAGTATCTATCGTAATTCAATGTTTAACAAAACAAACAGCGACATCTTCCAACAACCCGTCGCAAATTAGATCATTTTGACTCTAATGCTTCAAAGTGCTTCTTCGCAGAACGAATGTTCATAAGAGTTGCAGCTGCTGAGACGTTACCATCAGCGAGCACGACCATAATGAAGGTGTTTGGAGTGAAAGCGTCAATAAACGCCGCAAAGTGACTATTGCGTACATGCATGTATTCGAATTGCGAACCCATTTTGCTGCAAACGTGAAACGGTCGTTAACAAGAAAATGAGAAAATCTGTTAATTAAGGAACACCTACCTACAACTGAGTTTAAATTGTTTTATAATATTTGAAACCTTTTCGAACCGATGCATATCACGATGTTCCGTCATTTCCGCATGCGCGATGACAAGAAAAGTAGCTTTTTCAAATAGCATCACCTATAACAATGAATACTTTTTTCGTAGTGTCTCTGCTATGACTAATAGTCATAGTCGCTTTACGAACTTTTAGCTTAACTCCCTTCAAATTTATACGGAAGTAAAGATTTTATTTACATTATAAAGAAAATAAACGGTTATAGAAATTATGAACATAAAGCGAAAGCCAATATGAATCTCACTTCATCAGCATCAAGTATCGCAGCAAATTGCTTCAGCTTCTGTTCCATGATGCCCACATTCGGTATTAGCTTGTACACAATTGCAGACCACGCCTTCAAAATATATCCATAGATTAAACTTATCAGTAGAAGGGAGCCGAAATACTAACCAACATAGCTCGCAACGTACCAAGCTAGATAAAGAAAGGATAAGATTTCAGAGTTGGTCAATCATTGAGGGATGCGCCATGCATTTTACTCCACTAAGCATCGTTGGAGGTGACTTAATGCATATCGGGCCTTTATAATGACTCGCGGTGGCCTACCGATGTGTCGAGCTGGTGGTGCAATCCTCCCAGACAAGTCTGGTGCCTATTTACCGGCTCCGAAGAGATGGAAGGCTTGGTAACCCTTTGGTGCGGTGATCGATCCCGTGTGTATTGTAGCGCACCTCCGACCACTGCACTAAATGTGCCACGTACCACGTTATTCAAAAACAACGACGCATATTCAAACATGCAAACACGAAAAAAATCTAATCACAAGGAAAGCAACTCGTTGAAACTAACCTTGTACAAAGTTTCATCCCAGATACTACTACGAAAGCACTGACAAACGGCGTTTGCACGATCTGCACCCGCTGCCAACTCACTAAACTTCAAAACCAACGACGCTCGATCTTCAAATGTCTAGATAGAGCGACATTGAAATTTGAAGGAAATAGTAGACAATTAAACAGTTATCTGTTAGAATTGTACCTTATCCCGATGATCGACTTCAATGAGGTCCATTTTATGTATAAGACAAAACACCTAAATACAAAATACTTCGCCAAAAAAAAACTTTCTCAGTCTTCTAACCTGAGCATTTGGAGAATTATGTAAAAGGGCTTCAAGGCAAGATTGATAATATCCAAGATCCTTTTCGAACTCTCTACTTTCGACATCGAATACGTATATCAGTACCTGCAATACACAAAGAACTAAGCGTTAAAGAAAATATTGAACTGCATAATATAAAGAAAAAAGGATAAAGCGTTCCGCACTGATCAACCCTTAAGCGGATGTGATAGGTGTTCCACTTTACCGAGCATCACAAAGATGATTGGAAGCACACTCGACTTGTACAGTGACCTACGGTGGCCAACCGATGCATCATGTCAGCACTGCTATCCTCCCAGTAAAGTCTATGCAGAAATTTTCAGACCCTGGAGTAATAGAAACTTGTGAATTTAAAGCGCTAGATCGAACCACCAACAGATACGGTGTGTACTGCAGTGCACTACCAATCACTACGCTACACGGGCTAAGTACGCAATATATGATATTCAATCACCTGTACATTTTTAAAAATTTGGTCCTTCTGAGAAGTAAGATAATTGTTCATGAACGTTTCTTGGCCACCACAGTCCCACAAATGTAGAACTAGATTTCCCAAAAATCTAAAATAAAAGAACGAAGAAGCTATTGGATGAACTAAATGCTATATATATATATATACATATATATATGTATATATATATATACATATATATATATATGTATACGTATAAAGACATATGTATATGTATATATACGTACGCATATATAACATCTTACATAAAAACACATCAAAGTATATATACATACGTACATACATGTATTATGTATATTATATATATATACATATATATATATATGTACATATACATGTATACAATTGGGAGGGAACAAGGAGTGCTACTCGGGAATTAATGAATAACTGGAACTTCTAGGTTTAAAATGGTATACCACAGCTCAGAACCAGAAAGTTATTGAACGAAATAAGTCTTTGGAATCTGTACATTCTCAGCTAGCAAGAAACAAGCTTACATATTCTAAATACTTAAAACACTGAAGTTCTGGAGGCAATGAAGTCGTTGAGGGCACTTTCCACCTTGCCATAAGGTTTGAGGCATTTACTGCACAATAAGTTATCGACATGCTTAAAGTAGTAGAAGCACAGGTCAAAGGAATATGGCAGATGCAGTAGAATTTTGGAGCCAAACTAGTTCATTCTTTGTAGTTCTGGTAGTGCCACATGTAGCTGCGGGTTACTGTAGAGGAAGAGCATTCATCTGGTACGGCATCGATTCGTGGATCCTCAGCTTTGCAACTTTTTCTAGATGTTTCGGAACAGCTGGGATGTATTTGTTTAGATTGCTTAGCTTATACGAGCTTGTTACACTGTTCCTAATCGGCTAACATTCTGGTTTCTCCCCCTCCTTCGCGGTCGTGATGATTGGAGTCTAATGCCTACAAAGCAAAAAAGCTCACACCGTTGATTAATCCCTGAGGAATGCGCCATGCATTCCACTCCATTGGTGGCATCGTTAGAAGGGTCAGTCACCATACATACTTCACCTAAACAATGACTTGCGGTGGCCTACCGATGTATCGAGTCAGTGCTGCTATTCTCCCAGACAAGTCTGGTAGCAATCTGTCGACTGTGGAAAGATGGAAGGCTTGGTGGGCCATGGGTGTGGAAATCGATTCCACGTGTGTGTTGCAAGGTGCTTCCGACCACTGCGCCACACGCGCCCTAATACGCGTGAAATAAATAAAAATAAAAAAAATCTGAAGTTACTTCAAAATAGACGGTTTAGGTATATGAAAAGTTTGGTTCCAAATTGCCAACCCCAGAGAGATAAAGAGCTTGGTGAGCCTGGGGCGTGGAGATCGATCCCATGCGCATTTCAGAGCGCCTCCGAGCACTGCGCTACACAAGTTCAGAATACCCAAACCCGAAAAAATCTTCAATGTGGCGAACTCATCACGAAGTTTTTGAAACCAACTTCGCGCCTTGAATACGTTAATACTTCCTTAGCCACATACCCCATTACTGTCGTGATGTCACGCACACCGTGCTAAAACTACGTTTGAACGCATTAAAGTAAATCAGCCGAACATACTGTTTTAACATGTCAATTTTTAATCTGCAAAATGTGTCAGACATATGGTCTATCTTATAATTCAACTATACAAAACGAAAGTGAACAAAATAAGCTCTTTACCAATGACATCTAATAGTACGGCTTTAGACAAAACTTATTGCTAAATCTTACATAGCTACGAAACCTGAATTAGCTCGACTGGTTAAAAAAATAAAAAGTCCCGCAGCGAGCAGTGAAGCATTTACAACATTCGAAGTCGTCCGGGCTTTCAACATTTTACTTAAATGTACTTGAGGATTTGAAAAACTAGTGCGGATGATTTCGTCTACCTCTCTAGAGGTATGTTCTCTCGTAGTAGAACTTCCTAACCTGAAATTTTAAACTTAGAATTCAAAAATACTGCTTATGTATCATGTTTACGGCAAAACAAAGGCCTCAACGATGCCGTGCGTCACACGCGATCCCTCAGGTACAGTAATCACGGTTCGACCTGACTTGGAGTCCAAGTTTTGCAAATATGTTAGCATCATTGCGGCTGCATTTCACATTGAACTATTCCTGTTACTCACAAGGAATTCACTACAACCATTCAAAGACTATTTGATGAGCCCAAGAGGAAAAAAAAAACAAATGCAGATGACATACCGAACATGAGCGTGCTCAACTTCCATTGTCGGACCTAGTCTTGACGTGTCGCGAGCGATGTAATTGGCAAAGATGATCGAGCGCATGCTCGTCTTTCCTGAGCCGCTCTTACCCATCAAAAGCACCTTGCGCTTCGATGACATCTTTAATGAAACATAAAACAGGCTGCACATGAAAAAACAAACAGGCTCGACACGCTACTACTGAGTAATGCAGCAGTTACAACACAATGGTAGAATGGTTAACGCCCGCAGCGTTCCGTATAAGAAACAGTTCTCCTTAAACAGAAACTCTACGTCCAGAAATACTTGTACTCAGAAATAGTACGCAAGCAGACGAGGAACTACATTTTGCCAAAGATGAAAAAGGAATTTACGAATCTAAGAGGTTGGAAATCATGAGGAACACTGAAAACAACTTGAAGATATATATTGCTACTTAAGCGATTGGTGAGGTCACAGAACAGATGAAAGGGAAGTACGACGATACAAAGGAATTATGAAAGATCACAGGATGACACGTTCTCCGTAGTTGCGCGCCAGATATGAGTTTATTAGCACAACGGTTAATGCTCCACGAGCTGACATCACTCACCTAAGGAAAGTAATCCTTTCAAAAATGACGAGTAAGTAGGAGTACAGGATTACCAATCAACGCCGAGGTTAATGGGAATTTTGGTCTATTGTTACCAGTTTACCTGTATGGAGCTGTACTCATCGTCTAGGGTAACTTTGCACGGTTCAAACACCCCTTATTACTTCTGATAAGCTGGAAAGCTGTTACGGAATAATTATTGTATCGCAGTATCTTCCAACGGTTTAAAACCATATCGTGGCTGAAAGATGTTCTTGGGTGTCTGGCTGCGATGTACAGCAGGGTGGGGGTTCATCCACCCGGCAGAGCCTTCCAAACTGAGAACGAGCGGACGTTTCTATTAGGAAGCCTAGCTAGGAGTAAACCAATAGCAGGATCTACTACCGTCATAGTAGCAACCTAGTCGCATGAGGGCAAATCTCCCCCCGGTGCACAAGGGTTGTGGTTGCCTATGGTGGTGACGAGCTGGGACAGATTTTGGCTAGGTTGACCTCGGGACTCCAGGGAACCACAATGGCTAAACCAGTAAAACTCCGAAAAACGCGAATTATGCTGGAGCCGGCACAAATAGTGAAGACGGGACATCCAAGTATCCAAGCAAGTAAGTCACTCGTTAGGATTCAGCTTCTCGGTTACATTATTAAATTCCACAGTGAAGCGAAAAACTAACTTGGGTAGCAACTTATCGATGTAAAGGCGAAGTTATGGAACAGAAAAAGGAGAAAATCGACGTAATGAGAATAACCGATAATATTCAAACGCCCATTGAACGAGTTCTAGCAGTAATTCAAGTGGGAATTGAAATCCTTCTAATGTAAATAGAACCACATTGACGATTCTTAAAGACGAGTAACGATTCATACAACAAATCAAAAAGAGAAAGACAGCAATAACAGAGCCAAAAACGAATTATGTCCGTCACTCGCTATCTATTCAAGCAACTTAACAGAAGTCAACACACAACGAATGATTACATTTGCAAGAGATCTACAGATATAAATGACAGGTGAAACACCAACAAGGTGAAACACAAACCTACTAAGTAGACCGGTGTCATCACACCTTCCAGAAAAAGTAGATTTCAGAAATCAGCCATTATGGAATTGCTTTACAACCAACTTACACTGCACCTATACCACGTCTTCGTAATATATGGAATGAGATAAAGGAAACTGCGACAGAAAAAGGCCACAATATTATTGCATACTGCACAGGAAATTCGATCGAATACGTGAAATGCTACGAAACCTTATTCTAAACTTTCTCCTTCGCTCAAAAGGTCAAAAACTACCGTCTTCGATAATCGAGAAAAACCTGATTAACATAGAGTAAATGCAAGCACTTTAGCTGTTAGAGTAATGTAAAAGAACTAATAACAACTTCTGATTTAAACGAAGTGAAGTTCTTAAGCACCAAAACAATGAAGAGAACAAATTGTTAATAAAAAACGAAACAGGTACCAGTTAAAATTTCACCGAATTCGACAAAACCTCGCACCTAACCCAATGTCTTGACAGTAATCCTTATATTAGGACTTGTATTGTTAACACTCGCTTTCATGCGTTGCACACTCATCCAATAACAAATTCGTGACAGCGGTCGCCAATCCAGTCAGAACAGGGTTATCGATCTCAGTTTCGTTCGTGATAAGCGAAGTTGAACTCTAAAACGATGGCATATAGAATTTACATCGAAAAAGCAAATAACACACCTGTATATATCACAATAGCAAACCCCACGTCTTCAGTAGAAAACAGAACTTCCACTGTTCTTTCATAAACTGTTTATCCGCTTTCTCAATAGAGTGCTACAAATTTAATCAATAGCTAGACACGGAACGTATGTACTTGCTCCAAGTGTTGGGTATGCCGATGTTCTAATTTTATCGTCGGAACTCGAAATTCGATAAAGGTTTGTGCTGATCAAAACTACATCCTTTTACAATCCACACTGTATTTGAGCATATTTAAGATTCGATGACGACGATGAAGAAAGATAAAAAAAAACAATACTAACAGAAATATGAAAACAACTGGGGCTGGAAACAACACAAGGATCTGTTTTATTCAAAAATGTTTAAAAGAAGATAGGAAATAAATCTCAAATGTAAACGGAGATATTTCTCTAACAGATTCATCAGAATAAAAAACATTACCTTCTATAACCCACAATGAGCACCTCCACACTTCTTTTTTTTTGTTGAGGCCCATTCTGTTTCAACTGACAAAGCATTTGAAAAAACGAAATTTTATTTAGCAGGCCACCGCTGGATTCCATGTGCCTTTGTCTGTCGCTCGTGCTCAGGTAAGAAAATGTGGAGACATTAAATTCCATCTATATATTATCGAAAATTTCACACAGAAATTTATTCGAAATTGAATAACATTTCAGAAAACTAAGTGCATCCAGTTATTTACAAGTAAATTTCCACAGGTCTCCAGCATAGAAGAACGTTCGCCGGTTAGTCGCGAAGCAACTGGCGCTTCTTTAAGTGGTGGATAGGGAGATAATCGTAGACCAAAAACGACCTTACACCTCCCTGAGATGCATCTGGATCCAGAGATGGACTCCCTTCTTCTTCTGTGCCAACTTCGCATATCCCTTCTGCAACTGCGAAGAAGTACTCATGTATGAATGCGTGCGTACGTGCGTTCACGTTTATGAGGATTGCATTCTATGAGTCATCAAATCGGACAAAGGTCTACAAACAAGTGAACGAAAACCATATGGAAGACGGTAAGGAGTCGTTACCAAAAAATAAAGTTCCTCGTCCATCCTAGGAGAGACCGGCAAGCTACCAGTATACCCACCACCCACATTCAGAGCTCAAGAAGCTATGCGTATATATATCAAGCGTTAAAACGTTAAACACAGTAAAATAAGTGGACCACATTCGCCTGACCGCGAAAGAGCCCCCGATTCGACAACACTGGGTAGGACGAGTACGGATAGACTACTAATATCAGGTGGAAAAGAAAATCAAAAATAAACCGATAAAGGACTTGATCATGCGGACATGAATGGTAAGCTAAGACATCATAGGATTAGCTGAGACGAGACGACACCACCCATCCAACGCCGTATAAGAACTATTCCTCAGAAAATGCCACAATGAACGATTCAGCGGTGTACGCGTTCTCGTCAACACGAGTTTGTCCATGAACATCGATTCATTCGAACAACAAACAACCTAAGTCGGACGTCTAAGATTGCAGAGATATGGATCAATACCGGCTCCCACAATCATCATCGCTTAAGTGCCGACATCAACTTAAGGCGAAGAAGAAGACGAAGCGTCATATGTGGACTTGCAAAAGTTCTACAGAGAAGACCATACATTTTCCGCGATCATCATTAGTGATTTTCGCACTAAGACTGGACCCAGAAAACGTCTGATGAACGTAATATCGGACCCAAGGATTGGAATGGAAACAGCAGGGTGAGTGGCTGCCTGAGTTTATCATGCGATCAAAACAAATCATAGTATCTCGCACTTCCAGAAGCCCAACTGTCAACGTTGTACGTGGGAGTTTTCCAATAAAGAAGACCATGACGAAATAGACCACATTACAGTAAAAAGAAGGTTTTGCCTAATCAATATAGCTCTTGTCTCAAAATTTTACACGGGAACAGTCCATTGCCTTGCACGTGCAAGATTGAATTTCTCGTGGAAGGAAGAATAAGGGATAAAGTTCTCAATGCGCCTTAATGCCCCAGGTGCGCTAGGTATTCGACTTCACCAAGCATACTTGAAGGTGATTGAATGCACATCTCGCTTTACAGTGACTCGCAGTGGCCTGCTGATGTATCGAGCCAGTGCTGCTATCCTCCCACACAAGTCTGGTACCAATATGCCGACCCTGTGTAAGGTTTAGTGAGCCTGGGACGCGGAGATCGATCCCATGTGTATTGCAGGACGCCTCCGACCACTACGCTAAACGAGGGAAGAAAACCCCGCTAAATCGAAAAAATCGAGCCCCAAAACACAATAAACAGATTTATTCAGTTCTTTAGTCAGCTAGTGCGAAGACCCGCTCTCGATAACATGGTCGAGGGATACGATCGGCTCATTCAACACCTTCACATTAGCGCAATGAAAGATGAGAGTTCGAAAGTCACCAAGAGACGTCTGTCACCAGAAGTAGGGTTGCCTCGAGCTAATGCGCCAGCGTGGAATCGCACGTGCTGCAGGCAACCGCGAACTAACATGCGAACTTGCAAAACAATGCATACAATCGCTAAAAGATTTTAACAGAACAGCCACGGATCTCCCTCATATGAGGGGTCTCGAGCCGGTTAGTCGCGAGGCTACGTGGCGCGTCCACAGGTGGCGGATAGGGGGTTAATAGCGGACCAAAAGCGACCTTTGCTTCTTTGAGACGCAGGTGGATCCAGGGGATGGACTCCTTTTCTGCTGCGCTGATTTGGCACATACTTTCTGTATTTGCTAGGTGTATTCATGCATGTGTGTGTGTGCGTGCGCTCTCGCCTATGCAGATTGTATTCTACGAGTCAATTCGGCCAAAAACCTGCAATCAGGTGACTGGGA